TGAGCATTTGCCTTTACAAAGCCTTAATTGTTGTCTTCTTTCCTCTGCCAAATACTTATGTACAAGATTTTTTGTTTGTTTGTTTTCAAGACAGGGTTTCTCTGTGTAGCCCTGGCTATCCTTGAACTCACTCTATAGACCAGGCTGGCTTTGAACTCACAAAGATCCACTTGCCTATGTCTCCTAAGCGCTGGGATTAAATGTGCCACCACCACCCAGGCAGATTATAGATTTTAGTATTCTATTGTATTAGTCAAAGAAGTAGCAGGGACAGAGAAGACTGGGGTGGGCCCCACACTTAGAGTTGCAGGGCAATCCCACAACACCAAAGGTGACTGAATGTGTTAAGGTTATTATAGATGACATCACTCTGAATTCCAGGTTTTACCTAGTGTCTATGTGGATACTCATTATTTGCTGATCCTGTATACTCATTATTCTTACATTAAGTGAGTTGTTGAAAGTCAATTAGTAAGTAAACAGAGTAATCTAAGATGTTTTTATTCAACTTTCCTTATAAAGTCAACCCAAGATTTCCCAAGGAGGGTACATGTCTTCTGGATATGGGACTTAGTGTCATGACTTCTTCCAATTTTAGTAAATTTTGCTTTATTAAGGTACTGGTGTGGTCCTTAAGAATGACCTTGACTATTAAAAGTCTCCCAAGATGGAGCTAGGTCATTTAAGCAACTAATTTACATTTCCAGACTGCAGTTCTAAATGGGGAGAATGTGTTTCTTATTTGAGCCACTGATGATGGGGAGTCAAGTGAGCAAAGGTGCTGGTTGCTGGGTACCACTGGGACATCCTACTCGGTTAGATTCCGAGTTTCAAGCAGAGACAATTCAGTGCTGAGAGGAAAAAAATCAAAAGTGACTCTGTGGAAACAGAATTAACTCTGGAGCTTCATTCTGATGATTACACGGGCTATGAGGGGATGGAATCTAATCACCCAGTGTTTAAGTGGCCAGAGGAAATCTTATGATTTCCCAGAAATCGTCACTAAATAAAAATGGCAGGAGAGTATGTATAGCCACCACCTTAGTAAACACTGTCTTTGAACTATGAACTTCTGCATGCCTTTCCAAGTATGATCACTAGATAACATAGCAATAATTCTGTTCTGAGTTATGGCTCCAAGTTCAGAGTAGTAAGAACTAGAATCAGGTCTAGAGTGGTCTAGGGTGAGATATTTTATTCATATATCACCCCCTTATTGTGACCAAGGTGTATTTAAGTGGCTTAGTCTTGTTTCTTAGCTTAATATCATCCGTATATTTTGTTTCTTCAGAAATTGAATTGATTTTGAGGACAATGTTTATTTGTGTTTCTATAATCCAATAGCAGTCCCTGTGGGTAAAAGAATAAAAAACACTTGTGTTTTATAAGACACAGGATTTTCTCTCTTTCTTAATTCTTCTCATTTCAAATGTCAGCTATTATTTACTTCATCTCTAATGCAGCTTTCTGGGCTCTGCAACCTGGGGGGTTAGCATGGGCATGCCAGTCTGACCTGTCAATCTCCCTGGGACCACCGCAAGGTGTTTGCCCCAGTTCATTCCCAGGGACTCTGAAAATGCTCCTTGATGAAGGACTTGGAGGCCGAGCCCATTGCTTTAAAGTTCTAAAATACTGATTGCTATGGACTGGGCACGTGTGCCCAAGATGACATGCGTCAGGTTTAGTCCTCAGCTTGGGGCTACAGAAAGGAAGTGGACCCTTTAAGAGGTGATGTCTACCAGGAGGTCTGAGGCCACTGGGGACATGCCCCCTGGTGGGGACTATTGGACTTGGGGCTTCTTGCTCTCTCTCTCACTGCCTGAAACTATGAAGTCAGATACTTCTTCTACCATGTGTTCCTGTCATGATGCAGAGTTCAAAGGAGACTAAAGCAACAGAACCAACTGACATGGACTGGAACCTTCAGAATGATGAATTAAAACAAAAGTTTCCTTTCAAGTTGTTTATCTCAGGTGTTATGTTATGATATGTAGTTAAAAAAAAAACTAACATACTGACCTTAAGTTATTACTATTCCAAAGTTATGGAGGAGGTGGAACAATCATTAAGGTTCCATTCATTCATGGTTTCTCTTTTGCATTGCCCGACACCTGACCAGGGTGTTTCTTCCACACAGGGCCTGTTGGTGACACTGTCACAGCTGACTCAACACTGGAGCATGCCTGACAATGGATTAGTCAACAGGATGTACCAGCATTATAAAAATGGGCTTTTCTGAGTATCCTATAAACAGCCACTGTTTAAAGACACAGTCATGGGTTATGAAGCTGGGTGTCCTACATGGTTAGTTGCTTGAGAGCTGCCCTCTAATTTATTCTTGTTCTGGATGAGTGAAGCACAAAGCATTTCTAAACAGACATGCACAGCTCCCTGTCCATGAATTATAGTGGGTTGTGGATCCTATCCACGGCAATAAACTATTTAACATGCTAAAAGACAACTTGAGATTTACAGAGAAGCAAATTAATTATTTGTTTCTAAGTATGCTGTTGTTCTCAATTTGTGCCAAGAGAGCAATAAAAACTAATATTTGCAAATTACTTTCAGGTTTCCAAACTACCTTTTATGTCTTTTAATTGCTACCATGTACTATGCATGGCTTATTGCGTTATAGTGACATGAGGGATCTTTTTCATTGAATCTTTACAATTCAGTGGAGCCTTTGATTTATGATGGGTTGAGTTATGATTTTTTTTTTGCTTCAAGCTTGCATGAAATTGTGCTCACAAACTGGCACTTCACACCTTCAGTACTGTGTTTTATGTTACATGAGATAACCGACATTTTATCAGAGAACAGACTTTGTGTTGCATGGCTTTCTTCTAGCTTCCAGCTAATGTAGGTGTTCTGAGAATGTCTAAGGGAGGGCACACTGAGCCTGTAGGTTAGGTGCTGGATTTATTTCTTTTCTGTTGCTGTGATAAGATGTCACGGTAAAGCCAACTTAAGGTTAAAAAGGGTTTTGGCTCATGGTTCCAGAGGCTAGAGTGTATTGTGGCTGAGAAGGCATGGCCCCAGGTAGGGAAGGCACAGTGCAGGAGTAGGCAGAGGGCTGGTTATAATGCATCCAAACTTAGAAACACATGGAGAACAGCAAGGGGTCCAAAGCCTCCCTGCGCCTCCCACCCCCAGGGATGTATTTTCTCCAGCAAGATTTTTTTCCTACTAAAGGCTTTGCAACTTTTCCAAGGAATGACATCAACTAAAGACCAAGTGTTCATACACGAGCCTTTGGGGGGATTAATATTCACGCTCCAACAGGTATATTTAAATGAGTTTCTGATTTGTGGCCCTTAAGACCTGTGATGGCTTTATGGTGGCTATAGGGCAGACAGCACCTGCTTTATCTAGATGTTATCATTACACCGACTGAGCAGAGTGCATGGGGGAAGGACAAGCCAGAAGTGGGGTGATGCCCCAAGCATCACCCCTCACCAACTCTCTCCTCTGAGATGGGATTCAATGTTGTGTACCCAGCCACGGTCAGCCTCACAGAATGGCAAAGGGTGTTGGAGGGGATCCAACCTGGGCAAACTTCAAGTGTATGTTGACTACAGATAGTGAGTTCAAATCACAAAAGGACTGGATAAAATGTGTTATCTAATCAGACTCACACACTACGTGGGTTTTCTCTGTTTGTGTCCTTCCACTCTTGTCAGCACCATTTGCTAGAGTTCTAACACAATTCCAGATGCCAGAGTGGCTCTCTATATGTTTACCATTCCCCCTTACATTCTGGAAGTCAGAAGTTTAACCTCAGAGAGGAACAATCTCATATCTACACTGGGCTTTTGGCCCTAAAGTGAAGTTACATTGGTGACAGCCATAACTGCAAAGCCCCCTGGAGAAAACATCTGTCCTTGGGAGGAAGGGTCAGATCTCTCTTCACTCTGGGATAGTACTCTCACTTGCTAATCTGCAGGCCCTGTGCTACTGTCCGCAGCAAAGCTGAGGCAGAGGGGTTTGGGAGTTCTGAACTTCAGAGGAAGGAATACCTAGGGCTTTTCTTAAAGAGTTTTGAAGAAGCACAAAGGGGAAGGGATTTCCACCAACTTGAAAGGTTAAGAAGCTACAGTACCAAGGGTTACACACACACACACACACACACACAGAGTCACACACGTTGATGCCCTGACGGAACCTAAAATCCTTCTATACCTGTGGAACAAGACTTAGAAAGGGCAGAGGAGAGCCAGCCTAAAGCTTTGTATGCATTCCTGCAAACACCCGCCTTGGTGCTCAGATTCAGAAATTCCCCTGTTCCAAGAAAACTAAATACAGCTTCTCCAGGGCCCAGCTAAAGCTGCAGCAAGGAATTCTGATTTTGGTTTTATAGTAGCAAGTTTTACATACAAATATAGCATATTGTGATATTCCTGATCTACATTTGGAGGACAATTAAAAAGGCAAAATGTATTCCAAAAAGAAAAATTATAAATGTGGTATGTTTAATTTGAATAATATATATATATATATACACACATATATATATATATATATGCTTTCATGTATTAGTAAATATGTATATCAAACAAAATAGATAGCTTAGCCAGGCATGGTGGTACTAATGTTTAATCCCAGCACTTGGAAGGCAGAGGCAGGCTGATCTCTGTTTGAGACCAGCCTGGTCTACATAGGGAGTTCCAGGACAGCCTGGGCTACAATAGTGAGACCCTGTCACAAAACTAAACACACCAGAAATTATTATCTAACGCTTAGATAAGTTCTAGGGTTTCTTCTCAAACTCATTCAACATTAATGCGACTGATACAAGTGGGAGATTATGCTGCACTAATTGTGAATTCCACCCTGGCCCGCAGTGCCACTAGGAAATGTCCTTATTGTATTTGCTCGGTCAAACTGCTTTGCCTTTTCAGCTACTCCCTTGTAACTGAACAAAATAGAGAATTCTTGTGGACCTAAAACACCAGCTCCCCACATACTGTTTCTCTGTCTCATCATCGTCGAACAGTGCTCACCTTTAGGAGTGCCACTGAGTTCATTTCTCTGAAGTATCAGCACCTGTAGACGGGGCAGTTGGCTATGGCAGCTGTGTCTGTGAGACTCTTGCTGAGCCAGTCGAGCAGGAGGCAGATCCAGTGAGAGGGAGTGCAGGGCATTGTTGCTGAGGTTTAGTACTTCCAGAGCATATAAAGTAGCCAGCGGGCTGAGGGTCATTGTCGATATGCTACGGTTACTGAGGTCCAGATGTTTTATTTGCCATTTTTTCCTCGTGTGGGACTGGAAAAGGACTTGAAAGGAAAGGGAGCTCACATCCATGGTGTCTGCTATCTGTGACTTGTGTCTTGTAGAAGACCAGTTTGCCAGAAGATGTGTGTTCCATTGGTATTCAGGGTTGTGGAAAACACCAATTTTTCTTGGTGGGTTTGTTGCTGTTCTCGGAAAGCAAAGACCTATAACTGTGATAGTAATTCTGATGTAGAAGTCTTGCATAATGCCTGGAAAAGGTTAAGTAAAATGATTAATTCAACTAATTAATAAAAGCAGCAAATAAAAAGCAGTTAACTTCATTTCCAACTTAAGATTTAGGAAACATTCTTAATAATCAACTGAAGTGAACATTTGATTTCTTAGAAATTGGCCTCTACAAGGGAGCTCCTCAAAAGCTTTAACTGTAGAATAAAAGGGGAAAGCCCTCCCCTCGGTTTTCATAAAACACACATTTGCCAAAGCCTCACCTCTACGCCGCCGTCCCAGGATCCTCCAGCCTGTAGTTTTCTTCCTAGTGAGTCCCTTTTCTCTGCTCTGTGGCTTGTCACCAGCATGGGGCAAAGTCTATTACACTTATCTACAACACCGTCATGTGGTTTATGACATGAATGACACACAGTTACACTACAGAGTGAACCTCTCATATGAATAGAAAGTTCAACTCACAGAACAGGCACTCCAGTCTTTTCCTGACAAGAACAATAATATGCTTTATCTTTATGGCTTTTGCTATTTTTTCACACAATTTTGAAAAATTCTTTTAAATGTACACAAAATAAATAAAAGGGTGTGCTGTCCTTGAGCCATGAAGATGTCATAAAATACAGAAATGTCTTGCATATTCAAGTCTCATGGTCCAAACCCTTCTTTCCTGAGTTAGCCAATGTTCTGTCTTTGCTTTTACAATACTTTCAGTAAATATTGAATGAGCACACTGGTACCATTCAGTTTGATAGTGTCTATGACATCACATGTTGTTAGCGCTCCGTTTTGTGTGTTTCAGACAAAAACAAAAAGAGGGCAAGTATCTCCCCCACCCATGTGTCATGGTGGGGTTTTAATATTCTGGAGTCTGCCAATGGGTCGTGCCCTTTGCATGAATGAATGCACAGAATGAAGGGCATTCTCACTAGCTTTTGTTTCATACAAGGTCAATTCTCCCATATCTCAGAGGGTATCTAAATTTAGGTACATAAACTGCAAAGGTGCCCTAACTACAGCAAAGAGTAATTTATAATACACCTGTATTATACAGTACCAGAAACTGAATTCATTTTCCTAGTCAGAGAGATATTGTTTCAATACCAAAGCTGCAATCATTATGCATACAATTGGATGCCAAGCTAATGTAATACTATCAAAAAATTACATCAATCATAAATATGCACATTCCTTTGTAACAATGAAAAAAAATGATGGGGTTGAAAAACACACCTGTTTTAGAGGGGATAAGAGTAAAAGAAATTTATAGTCTGGCCCTTTTCAAGGTGGAGAGATTGATTAAGGATTAGAGTTGCCTTCAAAACAGGCAGATTAGGGTAATTTTATCTCTAAAATGAAAATTATTAGTTGGGCAATGGTGGTACATGCTTTTAATCACAACACTCAGGGGTGTGTGAGTGGGGGGGGGGAGAGAGATGCAGGTGCATCTCTGTAAGTTCAAGGCTAGCCTGGTCTACAAAGTGAGTTGTTACAAGCATGTTTTCCTGACAGCCTGGTCCCACAGCCACACCAGCCCCAAATAACAAACAGAGACACTGTATTAGATATAAAGCTGTTGGCCAGTTACTAACTAGCATTTCTTATTGGCTAGCTCTGTCTTAAATATTTATCCATTTCTATCAATCTAAGTATTTCCACATGGTCTTATCTTACTGGTGAGAGGGTCTGGAGTTCTGCTCTCTCGGTCCTACATGTTGACTCTCCTCCCTACTACTTCCTGCATCCTCCTTGTCTCCTAGTCCTGTCTATCTTGCTTTATTCATTAACCAATAAGAGAAACATATTTACAGAATGACATCTCCCATCAGTGAGTTCCAGGACTCTGACTCAAAACAACAACCAAAAAAAGAAAAACAAAAACAAAAACAAAAAACAAAAAACAAAAAAAACCCAACCAACCAAACAAAAACCTCAAAACCAAACCAAAACAAAAAAGGTATTAATGTTAAGAAACATTATTTATATTACATACAAATGTCTATGTGTGAGGCCAAAAAAACAAAAACACCAAAACAACAACAAAAAACCCATCAGTACAACAGCGAGAACTCTAGAGGAAATTACAAGTAATTAAGTAGAATGTAAATCTTTAAGTAGACTTATTCAAGTTGAGGTGAAAGGAAGCAGTTAAAAATAATTAGGGACATGCGTTCGTCAGTGAGACAGAGAAGATAATAGGAAAAGCAGAAGCAGAGAAAGATGAAGGTGAATTCTTCCATAAGAAATCGGGAAAAGAGAAGAAAACAGTGATGCTCTTCGGGTAATGAGGCGTGGGAAGGAAAGGACCCTGTCCCCAGGCCTACCTTAGGGTTCTTAGGCCGATTCTAATTGCTCTGTCTCCAGCTGATCTAGCCATTTGAGGGTTTGAGATATGTGCCCTGGAGGCTCTGCCCTTGTCCCCAGCTCTGCAGCCAGCCCCCACCCTTTCCTGTCCTGGCTCTTACACTGAACACCGTTTCCTGGGCCAATGGGAGAAGCCTCTGTGAGGCACAGATGAGACCATCTAGTACCTATCTAAACTGGGAATGCACAGCTTTCTGACCCCAGAGAGGTCACACAAACAGGTCACAGTGGCCAGGTCCCAAGCCATATTCAGAATCTGTGTTGGTGTTGAAGTAGAGACTCATTAATAAAGCCATTAAGAAACAGACAGCAAAGTTCACAGGATTTTATTGTAAACAGAGGTCATCAATCTGAAACACGTTATAGCTCTATTTTTGTGTGGCATAGCTTGTGACTTTTGCCCCTCTTACATCATTCAGAAGATCACACTGATTTGAGTGGTCTCCCCTTCAAGTTTAATACAGTAATTCTAACCCCTTAGAAAACACTCATCCAAACCAGGTAGAAACTCTTCCTTCCATCACCTAAACTATCACACGAAGTTTATTTTGCTTCTGTTACAATGCAAAAAAAGTTGCCAATAAAGCATATTTTAAAAGATTGCAGACGATGGCTGGCAGCCCTGCTTTGGGTTATGCATTTCCCCCTCTGTCCACTGGACAGCCTCTAAGGAATCTTATGTTTGTTTCTTCTATCTCTTTGCATTGATATCCACCTCTAAAACTTTGTCCTTACTTAAATAAATGTGTGTCTCTTTTCCTCTTGCATCTACTTCCCTCAAGGCTGCTAGGGCATGATCTCTGTGTGGTATGTTTCAACAGGAGAAATGAACACATGAGCAGGAGCCCGCCCTCTGGTGGCCATCTGGGGCAGTGTGGTTTCGCTGTGCTCCAAGAGAACATGATCTCGCTTGGCTTTACAGGAGCCTCCAGGTCAGTGTGCTGCCTAGGGTGGGTGTACCCGCAGTGCATTCTAAAATGCCATCCCCAGTTACCACTGGCTTCACAGAGCATCAGGTTGTGCTCTCACAACAGAGTGCTCAATGGAGTCTATCAAAACACAAGTGTTTCTCAAGGAAATGTAAGAATACATTTGTTTATGAATTGTATTAAGTAAATAATATTTAGTAATATAGTCTTCTGTGGTTTGAGTAAAAATATTTATTTAAAGAAATTCTCAAAACAGATTTTTTAAAAAGAACATGTAATAAATGTACAATTTAAAAATACATTGAACATGGAAATGAGAATTCTAAACATGATTTTTCTGAGCATTTTTAGTTATTAAATAATACTTGAATATATCCAAAGGCATAAATCACTTTCTTTATATCTAAAACCTGCACTTAGTGTCAGGTCTCAAGTCAATTCATACCCCAGCCTGAGTTCACAATCTATAAGGTATTCAGTTTCTCCATTTGATAGAATTGTGACAATATCAAACAGAAATTGTTTTATATATTGATGTTCTTATCCACACAGTTCTAAATGACCATGACAGAATACAATTGTCCTTCTGTGTAGCTAGGTCCATGATACCTCCCTGCTGTCTACTTTACAGCTATGTATTCTGGGTCCCTGATCCCATGTATCTTAGTATACCAGAAACTTCCTTTCAAATGAAGTATAAAATGACTAAGAATCAACTGGCTTGAGGGCTGTAAGTTAAAATGAGACAATGAGATGAGGAACAGAGATAAAGTTTTATACCTAGCTAAAATAACCTGCGTCATCTCCTGCATTAGCACCCTTTATCCTAATGTATACTAGTTTCTAGGCACAGTATACTTCTGAAGGGTGATGCTGGTATGGAACACTGGAGGGAGAAATGCACCAGGGCAGCAGGACCTATTGAGGCCTAGCCTCCCCCTTTCCACTGACGATCTTCAGGGCCTAAGGAAATCTATACTGGCCTCTCTATAACTCATTCAGGTGCTCCCATGGGGAAAGCAGACCAAGCAGATCTGTCTGTCGAATGAAAGCTTAGAACTGGCTCAAGATAGTTTAAAATCTAACAGTGATTGGTCATGTTTTGCTAACAGGTTAGTATTTTAACTAGAGTAGCACATGTTCCACTTTTACACATTAGGAAAATTAGAATTAGGCTTTTTCCATCTTTTGAGAATTTTAAATAATTGAAAATTGAGTGTAGAGTATAAAAGGCAGAAATACATTTGGAATCAGGTTCATCTAGTTTAGAATTTGTACTTGAATTCCAACCCCGAGTCCGCCCTTTACTATGTGGTATGGGGCAGGTTCCTTAACTTCTTTGACTTGCAGTTTCCTGATGGGTGAAGCTGGGATTGAAGCACTTGCTGAGAGTGGTGCAGTGTGAATTAGAGCGAGTAAGGGCTCGAAGCCCAGCCAGTGCTGGAGAAGAGGCCCAGTGATGACAGCTACTATTACCGCACACCAGTGAGGACTGGGATTGGGTTTTAATGTAACACATTGCAGATACTTACATGTATCATTATTTCAAGTAAACATTCCATGACAGAGTATTTTCTTTAGTGCAAAACTAAGGACACACAGTTTCTTACAAGCTCATATATGGAAAATTCTTCAATGACTTGTCTGTGAAAATGTGACTTCAGGTTAATACAGTAAAAAATCTGTGCCTTCCCCTTTAAAAGGCAAAAGACAAGAGCACAGACAGTGATGCTGTATCCTCCAAACATCTCTAGTGGATCTCTCCCTATTGGACATAACCAAAGGCTTACTTACAATGAGTCTTAACTCTTCAGCCCTTTGTCCTTTAGATAAGAGATATTATGTTAAAACACTTCAAGGATTACTTTTGATTTTATTAATTTCTCATGGTTATTTTAGAGAACTGTCATTTTAGTATCAGTGCAACTTAATAAAGCATATTAGAGTTTAGGCACTCAAAAATCCCTTAACTATGGAGAGTACATAATAGATACAGTGGTGCTCTCCAGTTCAAATACATATTATTGCAAACTCTGTAAAACATGGTTCACATGCATTCTTAAAAGGAAAAGGTCAAGTTGAGATTGGAACATATTGACCCCTGGGGATGGAACTTCTAATGAGTGTTTCCACAAGGGTTGTCTGCCACCTGGCAGCCCATGTTGTGGCTTGTTACTTGCACTTTGAAGAGCGTGCCATCTGCACACATGCAGAGCTTGTAGCGCACCCAGTCACCACTCCCCAACTGGTCCCCACTGGAGGAACTGGGCAGGCGTGTTGGGCTGACCATCACAGTTCCATTGAGGATGATGCTGTTTTCCTACAAGGACAGTAATATGGTTTAGTTACCTCCACAGAATGGGCATAGAAGGAAGTTATTAAACTAGACTAAACTTATGAAATATTAATGGGAAAAGGCAGCAGCGAGAGACTAAACTCATGATCAAAACAACCGTGGCCATCACAAAACCAAACACCACAAGGACTCGAAAGGTGACCCCTCGTTTAAGTCAGCCCCTACTGTGAGTCAACAAACCTGCAACAGAGCTTGCAAACACTAGTCAAAGTCACATCCCTCGACAATATGGCTGATGGTGACAACCTCGAATAATTTCCATTTTTTGACTCCAGGAAATCTTTAGTCACTGACCAATATTGGTATTGGGAGGGGTATTCTTCTCTTATAGGAAACTAATTTTAGTGAATAGAAATTCAACTAAAGATTAAAACTGTAGTTTATTAGTTCAGGCTTTCAAAAAAACTGAAGACTTCTTTAAAATCACAGCTACAGACTCATTTTTATACTGTAGGCTTTTAAGACCTGTGTGTGTGTGTGTGTGTGTGTGTGTGTGTGTGTGTGTGTGTGTGTGCACATGGAGATCAGAGGTTGAAAATATGTGTCTTTGTAAATGGATCTCTAGCATACTTTTTGTAATGAGGTCTCTTTCACTGAAACTGGAGCCCAGTAAGCAGGCTAGACTGTCTGATCCACACCTGCCTTATTTGTGTGCTAGGGCTTCTGAACTCAGGTCCACATGCTTGTTTGGAGGCTCTTCGCCAATTGAACCATCTCAAACTCCCAAGACCCGTCCTTTTGAGGGACCAGTAAGTTTCTACTTCTTTCCTTCCTCCACTCTCCCTTTCTTCACATTTAGCAAATAGTTACTAAATACTGTTATGTGCCAGACTCCATCCTAGGTGCTGGGGGTATGACAGCAGACAAATGTGTAACTGGGATGCCCCATTCAGTGAAATTAGGCAGACAATAAACTAAAAACCAAGGAAGTTTATATGGCATCAGGTGGGATAAACACTACAAGGAAAGACAATCAGGGCAAGTAGAGGGAGGGTGGTTGAAGACTGGCTTTGCACGAGGTGACCAGAGAAGGTCTCCCTGGTAAGGTCACATTCCAACAGAAATGAACAAGTGAGAAGCATGTAGGTCCCTGGGAAGGGCACTCTAGGTGAGGACACACCGACTGAGAGGCCCGCGGTGAAGATGTAAGGAGCCCAGTGTAGATGAAGCACAGAGACTAAGAGGAGGGGGCAGCAGCAGGATGTGAGACACTGAAGTGACGAGGGACCAGACCAGTGAGACTAGGGAATAGACTTAGGGTTTTACTTGAAAGTAGAAGGGAAGCCCATTTAAAGGGTGAAAGATAAGTGGCAGAATCATTTAGAAAGGTCCTTGGGAGCAGGAGCTGTGGCACGTATCTCAGCATTCTGATCCAGCCAGCGCTTGAGAGGCAGTAGGATTTGAGTTCAGGTCAGCCTGGGGTCTAGTGGGACCCTGTCTCATTAAAAATGTCAACTGCTACTGGCTTCTGGGTAGAGAAGTGGCTACATGTCCACCAAACAGCTAAGGGAGCCAACAGATTGTTCCAACAGTTGGGCAGTGCAATAGTCTCAGCACAGATGCTACGGTGGGTGGTGAGAGGCAGCAGGCACTGCAGCGGCTCTGCAGGTGGGACTGGACTATGCCAGTGGCTGTTGGGCGGGATCACTCATAGAATTGCATGTTTCGGGAGGACCCAGGGTCTGGAGATTTTACACATGTGGGACTTAGCTGCCTACAGATGTGGAAGAGAGGTAGGGAAGCAGGCAGCTGGATAAGGATCCCAATTCAGAGGAAGGCTCAAGACAGCTTGCAGCATGGAAGCCGTCACTTTAGAGAGGGGCTTAAAGCAATGGGAGTTGGTGGTAAAGTGGCAGGAATGGCTACTGCTATGTGGCTTTTGTCTGAAACGCTTGCAGCAGAACCATTTCATATTTCTGAGTTTATTTTACTTATTATGGAAATCTGTCAAACATCCACGTTTTCAGAATAAAGTGTTCAATGCTATTCTGAAATAAAAGTTCAAAGCATCCATTTCAAATTTTGTTTCCATGCTGCCATCTTGTGGTCGTTTAATTTTACTTTCTTGAAAATATAACAGGGATCAATACATGGTAGAATAGGGTGACTAAAGTTGTATTTGTATATTTGCAAATAGTTCAGAGAGATAATTTTGAATGTTCCTAATCTAAGAAGTGGTAGAGGTCTGAGATAATGTGCATGTTAATTACTCAAATATGATCATGTACACATGTATCAAAATGTACAATGTACCCCATAAATATGCATAATATATGTCAGTTAAAAATAAAAGTGAAAAATAAAATTTAAAAGGTACTTTAGTAAAATTATTTCTAATAATCAGCTTACATGCTCTAAATCTAACTATGGATATCATCTGATTTACAAAGCTGAGTATCTTTTCAATACTAGAAACTAGTAGACAGAATATTTCAGACTATTAAGATGTGTCACATCGACAAGGCAGAATGTTGTGAGGATTTATCTGATGGTCAGAACGAAAGATATGGTAACTTAGGCATGTTCTATATATAGAGGGCTCAGACATCACTTCTCTGATCTTTAGTGGCAACTGCAATCTGTAGCCCTGGCTGCTCATCATTCCTCAGAGAGCTCCCTACCACAGTGGGAAACTCCTCAAGGGCGATATGATACCTCTGGCAGGAGTTAGAGTTCAGTTCATCTTTATCATCCAGTGATAGGACCGGGCACTTCAGGGAAAAAACTGCTAAAGTGAGACACTTACTTTTCTTCCTCAAGTTTATTATTTCTAAGAATTATAAAACTGATTTTTTTTTTGAAAGGGGAAAATGAATGATTTCTATGCCCTAAGACTTAAGATCACTTTTGTCATGTGATCCTTGGTAACACACATTTCCTTAGCCCTATGTAAGTGCACTGAGCAAGGTACCCAGAGGCTTGTGGAATAACTCCATTCTGGCCTGAACTATAAGCTGATAAGAAGGGTGCAGACTATGCCTCCTCAGTATGAATAGGAGGCCGGCTGAAACTCAGGTTAAGTCTGTGAAGCTGAAGCAAATGACACAGTGAAGTCAGAGTCTCCCTCACAGCTAGGAGATATCACATAAAAACATGTGTTCCCATTCACTTACTGTTCTCGTCATGGCCTTTGATTACAAAACTTGGAGTGGATAGTAATAATCCTTGATTAAACAACAGCTACTTCAGGGGATATATGTTTTGATCTCTTAGAATTCTCTATCAGAAGACTTGTTTGGGTTTTGTTTTTCTGCTTTTAAAATAATATAAAAAATACAAACAAGAGAAGTAAAAATGAAATTATCTGTTATTCTATCACTCCTAGCTAAATATTGTCAATATTTTACTACATCCTTTCAAATTTTATAAACATGCACATGTTAGGAAAGAAATGAGATAATAATTTTACAAATTATTTTATAACTTTCTTTCATTTTACAATCCCTTTGGAACATCTTGTCATGACAAAAATAAATTTCAGTAATTATGTATTACTCTACATGTAATTATATACTATTCAAAATAATTATCTTAAATTTACACACAAAATAATACTCACAGCCTTTAATTCCACATTACCCCCCATGTGAAATTCAATGGTTTTGCCCATGATGAACACGCCTTCATTACCACGAACAATCGCACGCCCATCAACTTTGATATTTAAATCACTGGTAGTATTGCTGGTAATCTAAAAGTGAAAACACACACTGAAAGGGGTTTGTCGGTTAAGGTGAGTTTCAACTATGGGCTAAAAGGGCAGTTTTATAATTGTGGGAATTAACATAAAGAGAGGAGTTACTAGCACTCACACAGGCTAAGGACAGGGCTAGAAACAGCCCTTGGATGGCCTGGGGATCACATTTTCATGCAGCCTAAACCCTCCCCTAGGGAGTAGTTGCAGACAAGCTGCACTGGTGACGCTGGGAGAGTAAACCATACCCTTTCAGTGGACGCCTTCTGAACATTCAAACTTTTCACTCCACTTGGCAGATGAAACTCATGAGTTTCATAGTCTGTGCTGAATAAGATATTTTGTGTCCTTGGGTCAAAAAACTGCATTCCAATGTCACTGGTGATAGACGTTTTGTTCTTTTCTACACTCAGCTTGGTTGTTCCTTGCTGAAAAACAATCTTCAGAAAAATGCTTTATTGTGAGCATGTTTTCAAAGAATATACAAAGTTCACGAAGACTCTTATTTTTAAGAACCCTACAAAACAGTAAGGTTAAAAAACTAAAATGATGGTAAGAGCCAAACTTTAAATTCTTGTAACTGCACCTGCCCCTTAAGACTGGATAACACATGACTTTAAAATGAAGGGGAAAATTAAAAATTGTGCACTCCTTTGCTGCCGCATGACCCATACAAACACACAGGTCACAGGGAACATAGCTGGGATCTAAGATGGCCAGTGTGTAGGTAAGGAAACACCCTTGAGGGCCATTCAGTTAAAAGCCTGTGTTTTAGCAGCCACTGGGCCCCGTGTGCCACTGAGTAGCATTTCTTTTCCTGATCCTAAGAATCTGGACTTTCCAACCTGGGAAGGAGCTTTTACAATGGCTTTATCACTGGAAGAGCAAACAGTGACCTGCATACTTACACTAATTACACCAGTCAGTGCTTCTCTTGAGGGAGGGGAAACCTCTAGAATATCAAGTACCTAACTCTAGTGAGACTATAAAGTTCACCGTTACTGACAGTTGGGTATTTATGAATATGGATGAGTTTGTGCATTTTAACAAGAGGATAGTACTTTCTAGCAGTCAACTGTAGGTTTTCATGAGCACTGTAGTTCACGCCTGTCCACATCCACACACTTTCTTTAGTGGGGAAACTTACTGGCTGGTTGTTGCCAGTGATGACCAGGTTTTCATTCCTCCGTCCTCCCACAGTGCTCTTATAGAGCGGGTGGATGACACCCATGTCAGACACTTGCTTGAATCGCAACAGACCGCTTTCATGGAACTCCATGCTGTCACAGCCATTTGGCCCAATGCGAATCACAGCCCAGATGACAAGTGTAACCTGAAAGAGAGACAAGACCACTGTCACTAAGCACACACTAGCCACACCTGGAAGCAGACAGGGGCCATCATGTCCACGTGTGAGGCCTCTGGACATGTATAATTGGCGAGATGAATGCACTAGCTGGTGGTCTGCTTTTGTATTCATCCTACACAACACACTTTCCCCTCTCTAGAAACTTTTGAATATTTTCTTTATTTCCAGTTTGCTTAAATTTTACAATGATAGCATGATCTTTCTGTATCTCTTTCTCTCCTTCTGCTGCCCTATCTTTTAAAATATATCACACAGAACCCAAAATGCTTTCAATTTTTCCAGAGAATTTGCTTTTCTCTTTTTCCCTCCCTCCCTCCCTCCCTTCCTCCCTCCCTCCCTTCTCTTCCTCTTCCTCCTCTTCTTCCTCTCTCTCTCTCTCTCTCTCTCTCTCTCTCTCTCTCTCTCTCTCTCTCTCTCTCTCTCTCTCTCTCTCTCTTTGTCTTTTTTCCTTGACAGGGTCTCACTCTGTAGCCCTGGCTGTCCTAGAATTCACCATATGGACCAGGATGGCCTTGAACTCACAGAAATTCACCTGCTTCTGCCTCCTGAGTGCTGGGACTAAAGGAATGCATCATGACAGTGGGCTTTAGAGAATTTTCTTAATTCATTTTATTAGATTCCTGTCCTTCAATGCTTTCTCTGTTCTCCCTTTCAGAATCTCCTTTTATTAGAAAGATCCAATATTGATGCTTTGATTTTGTAGAACTCTATGGAAGAACTTTAATTTTTCCAATACCTGCGCACATACCCATGTATATGTATATTTACTTTTAAAAAGATTTACTTTATATTATGTGTATGGGTGTTCTGCCTGCATACCACATGCATGCAGTGCCCTCAGAGGCCAGAAGAGGGCATCACATCTTCTAGAACTGTATTGTTGTAAGCTGCCATATGGGAGCTACAAACCAAACTCTGGACCTCTGCAAGAACAGACAGTGCTCTTAAGTGCTGAGCCATCTCTCCAGCCACATATGTAAATATCTATTTCTTCTTCATTATTTAATTGCACCATTTGAAATGCCATGTTATTTTTGTTTCATGGAATATCATCTTTCTCAGAAGAAGCTGATTTTAGTTTCAGGGAATTCTTTTTGTTGTTATTTTCTGAGACAGGGTCTCATTCAATCCAGGCTGGCCTCTCACACTATATAGTCAAGGCTGGCCTTGAACTCCAGATCTTCCTGCCTCCACTTCCCAAGTATTGGGTTTACAGGTGAGTACTGCCATGGCTTTGTGGGTGTTGTTTTCTGCCATTCATTGCATTTTCTCTATCTCCCTGCGTTTCTGCTTCTCCTGTGGTGAGTATTTTGATCTCTATCAGTTTTCAATTATTACAGTTACCTCACAAATCCCGTCCCTGGCCCACTACATAGAAAACAGCACAGTGGCAAAAAGTTCAGAGAGAATTCAAGTGGCCATTTAGCCTGCCTCTTCAGTACCTCCTATGGCATTCACCACCACAGCAGACTCATAAAGGATCCCGTGTGGGGTGAACCTCCTGACCTACAGGTTTCTTAGTGGGAAGTGTTCTTTTTACTAGCCCTGTCAAATGTCACTGTTGTGTTACATTCTTTCTCTGGATGCTTTAACTCTCCAGAGAGGGGTTCTCCATCTCTAGCCTGCTTCCAGGTAGCTGGAGGTAGAGGATGAAGATAAAGGAATGTGGGAAGTGAGCCTCTGAACTCAGTGTTAGGCTGCCCTGTTCTCAGGATACACAAACACAGGTTAGCTGTGGTTAGAATTGGTTAGCTGCTGGCTGGGAAGTGAGATGCAGGGAATTTCACTAACCTCAGGCTTTTCACACAATTTCAATTCCTGTCTTGACTCTGATTAGTAACATACTGTCCTTCTAACTTTGGGTTCTGCAAGGCATTTTACTGATACAGGTTGTATTCTTCTCTTACACAGACACACAGACAGGTCTAGCTTTCCCTTCTGGTGAGTTACCTGCTATTCTTCCTCCTCTTTTGTCTTCATAAGTTACGCCTTAGGATTTTGGTCACTTCTCACTCCCTTCAAATACATCTATGTTTCCTGACACTGTTACTTTGGGTGAGTTTTTTAGAGAAGAGGACAGAAATGTCTTAATTCTGCCATCTTTGCCAGGAATATCCAATAAAGCAAATGCATAAGGCACAATAAATTCAGAACGCACACTCCCAGTAAAGCTATTTATGGTACCTTCTTTAAAGGTACCTTCTTTAAAGCATGTTCCAGCCCTTCCCTTGGTGAGGGATTAGACACAAGTTTTGGAAGTACATGGAGTACAAAAGAGTGCTCAAGAGCATGGGGGCAGGGAATCAATGAAACTCTGAAAACATAGTATCATTCATTTCTAACCACCAGAGTTATAATCTCACATTAAAAAGCCCCTTCCTCAAAACAGTAACTACCCTGGGAAGGACAGGGCCAGGGCTCAGCACCTCAGTGAGAATGGGCCGGGCAGAGTCCTCAGATCTTGACATTGGGAACTGAGGCATAAAGTGTCATCAAAGTATTTATGTTTTATAATCAATATGTGGGAAACACTGGGTGAAACTGTTTCTGTAGGAGAGAAAAGGGCAATAAGGTCACAGTGAAGTTCTCTTCCGCTGAATTTACATGGCCTTTACTAAAGACGATTCCTTTAGAGAGGCAACCCAGCAATATTTTTCTAGATGAGATTAGTATGTGGATATTACCTTACTGGGTTTTTTTCCAATTGTCTTCACATACTTTTATGGGATGGAGAGAGAAGCCTGTTCAGTTCTTTATGTTAAAGCACTAACTAAAGTTCAATAGGAGATAAAACACATATAGAAAAGCAGAGGACAAGACCATTCTAAAACACAGTACACAAGCAAAATCCATGCTCTTGCTGAAAAAGAAAATTCCCCGAGGTAAGTTAAGAGAGAATACTCTGCCCTACACACTCACGAGTAGATTGATGACAGCCAGGATAAACAGGAGGATAATCACACAGATGGCTAAGTTGCCTTTTCTCCCTCTCAACCCGGTTTTATGGAGACGATCTTCATCAATAGGAATATATCCAGCTTTAAAGTTGCTGTTGTGCTCTTTGTTAATGTTCCTTCGCTCCACAGCCTTCTCCCGCATGGACTTCCTCACAGGCCCATTGGAACTTTGCTAAAAACAAAACAGAATGGAACAGCTATAGTCTCTGTTGGTGCATTTATTAAATTCATACTCATAATTAAGAAAGCTGAACTGGCTGTTGATGGATGTTCCATGAATACGTTGCAAGTCAGGTTGAATAGTGGATGTCAAGGTTACTGTCATATAGCCATGTTTGCTCTGCTTTCAGTCATCCTACTGACAACATGGGTACAGCTCACTTCTGGGCAGCATTGGCACGCACACACACACACACACACACACACACACACACACGCACGCACACACACATTACAGTGGGTACTCTTATTTTTACTAATGACTGATTAAATTTTTACTTAAATATTTTCATTTACATGAAAAGAATTTGGAGTGATTGGCAGAGATTGCTACTTATAACTCAACCAATTAAAGCCTATATTATTCTAGATCAGCAATTTTCCAAGTGTTCAGGGGGCAATTATATGTGTATATATGTTTGAAAGGGGATGTCAACTGGACTCTTTTCAAGCTCTGAAATGTCAGACACAATTTTAAAATAACAATAATACTTGTCTTTTACTCTCCCACTCTTTTGAATGAATAGTGGTGTTTCCAGAGGCCATGTGACCATTTACGATAACATGATTGTTCTAAGAGTTCATGAAATGCTTGCTTGGGCATTCCTATGTTTTCATAATTTCTCAGTTTTAATTTCTAATATGGTAAATATCAACAGGTATTTAAGTGTGTAAATAGAATCTAGGATCAGAAAACTTGATAACTTCTGACTTGACTACAGCTAGGTGACATTAAGCAATCATGTAATACGAACACAGGACCAGTAGATATGGGCACTGCCAAATTTCCACATTTTCTCAGAGTTCTGAGATAATTCACTCATTGTAGAAGGCACATACTAAGAACGGTATGCTTAAACAATATCACAATAAGTAGGAACATAAGGTAGGGGGACATGAACCTTATCTCATAAAGTATTACAACACCTGCATTGTGTGTTACATGACATGCATACTCTGTATGTTTGGGTGCCAAAATCAGCAGTCTAGGCAATGCATGTTCAGAGTTCAAATGCAGGAGGAGTTGGGACACTCTGGAGTTGCTAGGAAACTGGGAGGAGCAGGTGGGTCAGGTCTGGTAACCCCGGGAGAAGGAAGGGTGGAAAGTCGAGCCAGGTTGAGACAGTTTGTAGCAGACTCCAGGCTTTGGGAGTCACTGGAGGATTCTCAGCAGGTGTTTCAGCATGCTAAATGTTAAAGAACACTTGAGAGAGGTAAGCAGGCTCCTTCAGATAATGTAGGAATGGAGGTTTGAGGTAATGAGGGAATGAACTAAGGTGGGAGAAATATGCAAATGAAGGGAAAAATGAAGCGAGAGATGTGGTAAACAACAAAGCATCACTATCTGAAAGACTTTCTCTTGGGGACAGTGGGGACTACTGAGGTTATGTTGCTGCTGCTGGTGGTGGGGGGGAGCTTCCTCTTTCTCCTCTTCCCCTTCCCTCCCTCCTCTTCCTCCTCCTAGTCTTCTTTTTCCTCCTCTCCCTGCTCCTCTTCCCCCTCCAGTCTTCCTCTCCTCTTCTTCTGCATTTCTTTACTGAGAGAGAGAGAGAGAGAGAGAGAGAGAGGAGAGAGAGAGAGAGAGAGAGAGAGAGAGAGAGAGAGAGAGAGAGAACACATGCATCATGATATGTGTGTGGAGATCAGAGGACAACTTTTGGGAGTCGGTTCTCTGGACTGAACTTAGGAACTCTGTGGCTAGCACCCTTATCCTCCAAGTCATCTTGTTAGTCCCTACTGAAGACATTTACAGGGAAGCAAAGTCACGCCCCAGGTGAGAAGGACTGGGATAGAAGAGCAGGAGAAGATGTCACCACATTTCCTTGGCTTTGGAGATGAAGCTGGGGGAGAAATTTTAAGTGGCAGAACTGTCAGGACCCAGTGACTGTGTCACAGAGGCGTCTACAATGACTTCCAAACAGAATACACCACATAATTTGTGGGACCCTAAGCACAAAAGCAAATATTCCTGTTCATATATAAAGTTGAGGACAGCAGATCCCTAAGCCCAAAGCTCTGTTCAGTCAGCCTGCTCTGGTTAGGGTAGCTACAGATGACTGTAGCCTTTTAATGGTCAGAACAGACCCCTAGAGCATCAAGATGCATTCACAGACCAACAAAGACTCCTCTGACGCAGAAGCTGATTTAGTTAAGGGGTAAACTAGGAAACCGAGAGATGGCTTCAGTCCCAATAGCTCACGTTGTCTCCTTACACTTGTTCCTTTACAGTTTGTTGTGAATCTGCACTTACCTATTGTTACAGCTGACTGGTCCATGTTTGTTTAGCCATTTGACTCTTAGGTGAAAGCAGATTTCATGTCTATTTTTTCTACCCCTTAGAACAAGTCCTCCCGGAACATATGCCTAACAGGTCTCTAAAATGTTAGCCACCTGAAAAAAATAGTTCCCAAAGCAATTGAATATTAGCAACTTCACTTGTTTTTTTTTTTTTTTTTTCAATGATGTTGAAGAATGGGACTTTTAAAGGGAAACTATCTTTTTTTTGTGGCAAACAATAGTAAAGAAGTGACTACAAAACTTGTCTTTATTATAATGCCACTCTGGCAACTACATGTTTGGGTATGCATTCACACATTACACACACACACACACACACACACACACACACACACACACACGTATGTGCATGCTAAAGTACAGCTTGGTATTTGAGGGGAAGCCTTTAAAACTTTTCTAGGCTCACAACGAGGACCAGGGAATATTTGGTAATGCATTTCTTAAAAGTAATCTTAAACCCATTGGACCCGGGTCAGTTTTATAGGCGACTGAATCTCCTAGAAACCAAAGTGGGAGGGGAAAGCTGGGCTGTGTGCACATCGGGCATGGCAGAAACAAGACCTGGCCACGATCCACACCAGGCAACAGCTGACCACGACTTGGCTGGTGTCGGCAGCCTCCCGGCCCCAGTTGATGTTATTTTTATCCTCATGGTTGCTAGCTGCGGAGAGGAACGTCCAGGCGCAGGCCGGTGACCCGTGTCACTCCCGCCGAGGGACAGCTCCCCTCACCGGCCTGGAGCGGCTGTCTGGGTTCCCGCCTGGCCTTCGCCAGCATCTTGGCTGCGGACAGCTCCCGCCCTGCCGCCCCGCCCCGCCCGCCCCGCCCTGCCGCCCTGCCCGGCCCTCGCCCCTCGTCCCCGCCCTCCGTCGGGACGACCCGGCCATCGCGCTCCCCAAGCCTCGGCCTCAGCAGGCTCACAAACCTGCTCTGTCGCCGCCGCTGCCGCCGCCGCTGCCGCCATCTTGGCTCGCCGCAGCCCGCGCTTGCGCTCTGGCACGGGGGTGGGGGTGGGGCTCACACCCTCGCTAGCCACGCCCTGCCACGCCCCCGAAAGGATTCCAGAGTGGGCAAGGAGTCTGCAGACTCAGATCCAGGGAGGTGGGTCACTTGCGACTGTGAGACGCTGCGGGTTGGATGGGCGTGGCAGGCTCTGGGGCGTCCTCAAATTCCTTGGAAAGGATGCCCTCAAAGTCCAAAACATGCTTTTCCCTTCCACACGCTTCCCATCGTCGAATGCTGTACCATCCCAAGCTGCGACACCCTGAGAGGGAGAGGGGCGTCAACGGGAGTACTTGTGGGCAAGGTTTGGGTGCAGACCCGGGGAACAGAAGTTAGGCAGTTGAATTAAACCTGTCCTCCAGGAAGACTGTGGTCAAGTCTGTCACTCTTTCTTTGAGGCATTAGAGGCAGATTGTCTGTCCATACAGTGTTGTATTAGATCCTTAGGAACCTAACTATTGACACACAGTGAGCACCAGACAGGCATTCGAAGGTGCAGGTAACAGTTGGTGCATATTCGTTGCTCTGTGCTCTAATAATCCATTAAGCTGGAAGAAAAAAAATACTAAAGAGTAAGTAGCATCCAATGTCCAAGAACTGAACTGTTCTTCTGGTCATTAATAGCTTCTAGAAAGTACTATGCCACTCCTCCCAGGGCGGGGGCGGTGCTCAGCTCAGCTTCCTTTCCCAGGAGCTGGGTCATTTTGTCTTTGTAACCAGTCCATCGCTGTTCCACCTATATCTGATGGCAGTGAAGTTTGAATAGACACTCTGTCACATAATGTCTTCTAACCCTTTTCCCTCTTTGTGTCTGATTTGGGGCTGCACCTCTGTGGTTATTTGTTTGTTCATGTCTTCCTTCCCAACTATTGAAGCCACCTGGCTCTATCTCCATAACATACCTACATTTTAGGCAGAAAGACCATAAACACAACGAAAAGGTTTGGGAATTAGCAGTGTCTGTGTAATAGCTTGGCTCTTGTCCTCTTTTATCAACTTTGACAACACGGCTTTCAACTGGCCCTGGGTTCCTGTGCTTCTCCTTTAACTGTACTCAGAAGGTCTTTTCCTTTTTCTCTGACAGACATACTCGTTTGTATCCCCAAGAACCTATCAAATGTCACATTCTCTTTGGAGCTTTTTGAAGCTCTAGTCAGTAGTATGAGTGCTCTGTTTCTAATCTTGTGTGTGGTTTCAGTTTGCAGTGTTGAAGGCCCATGTCTCAATCACACACAATAATGCAGTTTATTAAATGTCTTCCAGAGCAGCCTGACATTCCTCATTTTAAGATTATAAGCTCCACCTTGCTTTTCCTAACTTGTCTGCACATATGTGCCTTGCTAATGGATTTTTCTGATGTCAGATGCCCATGGCTATCTGAAGATGTACTTTCCTTGGATTCCTCATTGCTAACAGGACACCACTTATTGGGTGGGTGTCCTATTTCTGTTCTGTTGTTGCTGCTGTTTTTTGAGATTTGATGTCTTATGTGTTTGAATATTTTGCAGGCAGATATGGTTGTGCACTGCCTACATGCCTGGTGCTGGTGGGAATCAGGAGAGGGTTAGACCCTGGGACTGGAGTTACAGTTGTGAGCCACCAAATGGGTACAGGGAACTGAGCTCAGGTCCTCTGCAAGAGCAGCCAAAGCCGTTCATCTCTGAGCTGTTGCTCCAGCCCCTGCATTCCTCCCCAATTTGTCTTTTTTAAAAAAAGAGAACAAATTCATTCATTAAACCACAAGCATAATGTGAACCATTTCTAATGCTATTATTTTGAAGGCTCCCTCCCCCAAATACTTGGAGAGTACTATGTGCTTGGCAATGTCTCTAATTCTCCTAGAAGTCTTGTTTTAACTGGCATTATACCAGTTCACTATGACACCCACTTTATAATTAATATTTTGTCTTCTGTTATTTTGCTTTTAACATAATTTTCTCCTAAGTAGACTGTGAGCTTCTTACAAACTGGGTGCAGTATGTCATTACCTATTACTCCAAGTCCTGATCACGGTAGAAGCCAAATACACAATAAATGCCAAATAACTCAAATGAGTGAATACTGGTCTTTTTCAATAACTAAAAAATCTCATGAGTATCTCTGATATAGGTCTGCTTTAACACTCACTGTACAATACCCCAGAAAAGGACCACATTTCCATCACTCTGTGGCTGCCCCATGCTCTTCCAGAATCCCATCCCACCTCCTATAGGACCACCCACACGGTGTATAAGAAGGGATCCATTACAAATCCATTTGTACCCTGGCTGCCTTCCCACTACCTATAAAATAAACATTAATTTATTGGTACAAAAGGCTCATCTTAGCCAAACCCAGGACTAGTCTTGGCTTGTTTCTGACACTGTAGTTACAGTGGACTCTCTATGCTTCTTACCCTTGTACGTTTTATTTCTCAGCATTCACTCTCCTGTGCCTGGTAGACTCCTCTGTCCTTACAGAGCTGGTCCTAAATGTCACCTTCTTCCAAGAAGTCAGGAAAGGAAGAATCACCATGTCCATAGTTGTATAGTTGTCCTGTTAGTGCTTTACACTCTCAGCTAGGGTTGCTATGTCTGTCTGCTGCAAATTGTGAGACATCTGGGGTCAGGAGGCCAGTCTTAAATCACTTTATACTGAAGGCAGATGGGTGGGTCACAATCAAATGCCAGCAAATGCTAATAAATGCGTGAAAAGGAGCCATTTCCTTATCAGTCACCCTAGGCACCACCTTCCTGCTGTGCCATGCCATTCTGAGAAGATGAAGGGTACCTGCCAAGGCTGATCATACCTTGTTCCTCTCTTTGCAATGTCCAGTGCGCTGAGCCCTCCCCTTCAATGGTCATGGCCATAGTACCATGTATTTGCTATTTTATTGAGCTAGTTGTACTGAAAAAGTTGACAGCAGGGATCCCTTCTGTGTTGAAGTAAGTATAACAGAAACCTTGGTTGGGATTAGGGGGTATTGGGATCAAAACAATTTATCTGTCTTGTTTTTTCCTCTTCTATTCTGTATTTAAATGTACTATACATATTTATTTAGGTATCATAGTGATAAAATTTTGATAGATTACCATTCTTATAGTTTTTGATTGTTGTTGTTGTTTTGCTTTGTATATTAGGCAAACGACATGAAGGGGTTGTACAGGAAAACAATTCTGGTCTGCACAGAGAGAATGCATACTGGTATTGTATTGGCAGTCTGCAGGAAACCTTGACTTTACTGCTTCCTAGAGGAGGAACCTGCCTTCAGCTTCCATCTGAACCAGCTGATTCTTCCTTCGGTGAGTGTTTTTTTTTTTTTTTTTTTTTTTTTTTTTTTTCCTGGAAGAAAGGATAAAGGACAAAATTCAGATTCTGATGTAAAAATAAAGGCCATTCGGATTAGCGGATGCTGACTCTAAATGGACAAGGAAGTGCTTTTCCACATAGCACAAAGTGACTTAGCAATCCACGGTAAATTCTGGTGTGTGTGTGTGTGTGTTGTGTAGGTGTTTCAATCGCTTATCTCATTTTTTGAGACAGGGTCTCTCTCCCTGAACCCGGAGTTCCGTATTTAGATGAATTAGCTGGCAGTCCGAGTGACACCCCCTCCCCAACTTTTAAAGTGTGTACTCGGGTGTATGTTGGGAGGAGCGATCCAAACAACTCAGGTCCTCGCGTTTGCATTACACACACCTCACCGTGTGTGTAATCGTATCTTTGCGGAAACTCCGTTTTAAAAATAATTTCATGCAGTGGAGCAAACGCTATCTTTCCTTTGAACAGAATTACAGGTCCTGATCTCCCGACCAACCCCCCCCCTCCAGATCCTGACACAACGAGTGTCCACGTAAAACACAGGTTGGTCAGGGACTGCACCTGTCTCTGGCGAGGAAGATCTAGAAGTTAGGGCGAGGATGCATATGTCATTCTATAGAGAACAAATCTATTGTTTTAGACCCACACATTGAGTAGGACGAGGGACAAAGACAAAGATATAAGTAGTAAAAACAGACATTTTAGTCCCAGTTTCACAGGCAGAGAATTAAAGATTTGAGAGATGGAGGAATAAAGGAAAGACAATGGAAGTCTACTCAAAATTTCCACGGAATTAACTTGCTTTCCTAGGCACGCACTGTCACTCAGGGTCCGGTGCCGCCGCAGGTTAGATATCCTGCGTCCCCTAGTGCTCCTGGCAGGTCTAGGACCAGCGCAGGGTCCAGCAGCAGCTCCCACTTCCTGGGGTCTGAAGGTCCTCCAGCGGGTCACACACCCCGGAGTTCTGAAGTTCTGACCGCCTGGGCGTCCTCGACCTGGGCCGGCAGAGCCAGGCCCGGGAGGGGGGGGTGGTGAGAGGGGTTGGGGTGATGGCAGTGTTGCGTCTCCACAGATCCCCCTGGTCCCCAGGCTCGGCGTGAGCTGGGGGGGGGGGCGGGGCGTTGCTCCGACGCCAGCCTTTGGTACCTGGCAGCCGGCCGCCACGTCAAGGTTTGTTTAATAATCGACAGGGTATTTATGGCCTGGCGGGCGAGCAGCGGCGGGGGAGCTAGAACAGCAAGCCAGCCAGTGGATGAAGTGTGGCGCCTGCGGCTAAGGGCGCCTCCCCCCTCGGCTTCCCGAACCCTGCCAGGTCCGACCCGAGGGGGAGGATGGACACACCAGCTGCGTTCTGAGCCTGCGTAGAAGATAACACCTTTGCGGCCACAGCACCCCACCGTCCCGCCCAGGCAACCCCCTTGTCCCTGACCCTTCTACCACTCTCGATCTCCCGGAGTCGGACGCGCAGAAGAGCGCGCGATGGCAGACAACGTGAAGAGGCTGGCCAGAAGCGAATCTTTTCAAGCACTGCAGGAAAAAGTCTCCTTCTGGGAGAAGGACTACAACGTGAGTCCGGGTGGGAGACCCCGGGCTCACCCTGCCGAGTCCCCCCCCCCCCCCCCCCACATAGCCTCGACCCGGGCTGGCGTCCGGGAAGTCGCCACGCAAAGCTACCGCTCTTGGGACCCTAACGGGGATCTCAGACTGCTACCTAGATCAAAGAAGGAAGTTCCAGTCAATCGGAACCCTTCACCCGGGGTGGGGTGATTCTGGCAGCCACAGAGCATTAACCTGTGTTCGGTAACCATGGACGCCGGTGGCCCTAGCAACAGAGGGGCTGAGACAGACTGCCAGCCACTCCCTTTCTCTCTGCCTGCTTTGGAATTATTTATACACCACCTTTCCCACTCACTGCCTTTCCACAGGTTCTCATTTTTTCACGACACCCAGGATCGTATCAGAGCGAACTTTTATAAACCTGCACCGGGTATTTATTACAGGAAAAGGGACACTTGGAAAAGTTGCGTCCTTTGCGCGCTGGTCAACATGGTAGTTAGGAAGATACCAGGGAGGTTTCAAGGTGTTGTAAGAAATTACTGTGTCACCAGCATTTTGTCACACTCAGAAGCACACTCTAAATTCTATTAATCCCACTCCACCCTGGCTCCAACAGCTGCAAGCTGTATTTGTCTCACATTCCATCCAAGTGTCTGAATAGGAAGGAGGCTCTGGGCTTTACCCAGAGCACAGAGCAGTCAACAGGGAGAGGTGAGCTGAGAATTGGGTCGTTAGCTTGAGTTCTAGGTCTGAGTGTGACTATAGCTAGCCAAGTAATGTTTCCCAGACTTTCGGGGTCTTAGCACCTCAATTTGCTCCACGGTTGGGATTTTAATTATTGTTAAATAGTAATAATAATTACAATCATTTGTAATGTTACTTTATAAACTTCAGATTTTAAAAATCTAGATTGGCTTATTTTTGAATTTGCATCTGAATGTACCCTATATCTTGTTATATGTGGTTTGGATTCGGGTCAGTTGCTAAACACATCCCTGTAACCCCCAAAGTGGTTTTATTAGTACCAGGGAATTTTGACTTAAATATTCACTGCAGCAAACTCTAGTTTAAATGCTAGCTGTAGGGAACTACACTTATTAAAAAGTGGTAAATTGTATTTTCTTTGGAAGGTTGATTTTGCTGATTGTATCCATACTGGCTTAGTTAGAATTTACTTAAAAAAAACAAATACAAAACAAGTCATGCATAACCCATTACAATTAAAGCCACCCCCTGGAGGAAAGTTATTTTAAAAGAAAATGAGTAAATGGTTTATATTAATCCTAAACACAATGCATAATATCAATTTTCTTCCAACTAATGACTTTTTGGGCTAACATCTGATGGATGGAGCTTTCCTTTTATTTGCCTCATGTGGTTTCCTTCTCCCTCATCCTCATCTCCTCCTTGCTTTGGGCAGGTGGTGCATTAGCACCCACACCTGGTAGTTGTGCTCTAAGACAGGCTTCCCTGTGTACTGAGCCTCAGCTCCTTTTATCCATGTTTCCATCTTCCTCTGTTTCAGTTACCTACAATCAAAATCAATTACTATGTTTTAGATGTTGTGTGGATAGGGTGGTGAAATCTCTACTAGAGGTTGAATCATTTCTTGTTGAAACTTGTCCAGAGTACGCATGAGCTATATACATCCGGCAGATAGCACTGCCTCAGTTTCCAAATGAACAGCTGATGGTCTTTAAAAAAATATCAGTCTATGCCCTAAAGCCTTAAAAAATGTTGGTTTATCCAGGCAGGGCTGACACATTCCTGTAATCCCAGCACTTGGGAGGAAGAGGCAGGTAGATCTTTGTGAGTTCAAGCCGAGCCTGGTCTATAGAGCCAATTTCAGGGCAGTCAGAGATGTTAACACAGCAAAATCCTGTCTTGAAAACCCAATGTAGTGTGTGTGTGTGTGTGTGTGTGTGTGTGTGTGTGTGTGTGTGTGTGTTGGTTTATATTTAATCTTAAAGCACCAGCAGTCTTCTGGGTCAAGGAAGAAACAACTCCGTGTTGATTTAACTCAATCCTTTTTAAGGTCGATGTGATGGTTCATTAGGTAGTCACCTGCTGCCAAGCCTTGACCTGATTCCATCCCCAGGACCCACACGATGGAAGAAGTCGATTCCCACAAGTTATCTTCTGGCCTCCACATGTTCACCATGGCACATTTGCATCTCCTACCCATACATAATGTAATAAAGTATTATGAAATTATATAGGGAAAGGATGCTTTCGGCCATTTCCCAAAGAAGCAGACACTAAAACAAACAGTCCTGCCTCTCTTTGCCAAGCAGGTGATACTCAACTTTAGTGTAAGCCGATCAGGTGCCTTTAAAGCTTGACTTTAAAGGACAGCTTGGTTTGATTTTTCAGAAGCTGCTCACCATCGTTGTTCATCTAGGAACAAAGGCAACTACCAAAAGCTTAATAACTCACCCAGTAAATAGTCAGTGGCCAGAAAATTAGGGGGTCTGATAAGAATTTTTACAAGGCATCTTTATTCACTCATCCAACAACGTTTTAAAGTGTACATGGTGTGCTTATCTATGCTAGGTGCTGGGGTTAGCAGTGGGAGCTATATGATTTTCTCTTTTTTAAACACAACTTCTTTATTAATCTTTATATACCCTAATTCTGTTCATCTCCCGATCCCCTACAATCCCCCCTCATCTCAGTTGCACCCCTTCAGAAAACAAAACAAAGTAAGCAAGCAAGCAAACAAAAGCTAAACAAAAATCTCAATAAACTACAACAGAACTAAAGCCACACCTGAAACAAAGATCTCTGTTTCTTCTCTTCTCCATCCCCTCTTCATCAGTCCTGATGGCACTGGAGGCTTCGGTGTGTCATACAGTATTCCTCTTTGTCTCATCAGCTTGACTAGCAACTGCTCATGGCAGTGAGTCATTGGTCTGGTTCAAGGCCTCTGGTTTTTGGTGACCATCCTCACTGGAGCTCTTTTGGGGTCTTCCGTGTCTTAGAGGTCTTTGTGGTATCATTCCTAGGACCAATCTCTTCATGAGCTCCAGCAGGACCTAGATTGGGTAGATGCTGTGTGTGTGTGTGTGTGTGTGTGTGTGTGTGTGTGCGTGCGCGCACACACACACACACCTGGGTGTTAGCCAGCAAGGTCAGATTGACCCAGCAGGTGAGAAAAAAGCCAGCCTGGCTCCTTGGGTCCGGGCTGGTAGAAGTTATATATTTTTAATTACAAATTTATATTTTCTGTGTATGAGTGTTTTGCCTGTGCAGCACTCGATCAGTACTGGCAGAGAACTAAATAGTGCACAGGGTCCTCTGAAACCAGAGTTACCAATGGTTGTGGTGATTTGCCATATGAGTGCTGAGAATTGAACCAGAGACCTCAGAAGAGGAGCCAATGCTCTTAACTGCTGAGCCATCACTCCATCCCCAATGGAGCTGCATCTTAATGAAGAGCCCCCATCTGTAGAAGAGAAAGAGGGTGGAAGAAGTAGGGATGCCTGGGACTGGTGAGTCTGGGACTAGTTCAAAGAAGGGGATGCCAATGAGATGAGGCAGAATAGGTGGAGAATTGGGGGCAGATGTCAAAAGGGGTTCACTTCACTTGAGGGCCAGAGGGAGACTCTGAAAGCACAATGCAGGAAGAGGACCACTTGGGATTAGGTTTTATACTGGTTGTACTTGTGATGGGGAAACTAAAGTCTCTAAGAAGAAGATTTGGGGGTTAAGTGATACTTGAGGCAAGAGAATGTATGAATATAGCAACCTGGCATATTTAGCAGACAAGATGAAAGACACCAAGAATGCTCTTTAAGGTTCATGTGAGACCACACTTTAAATATCTGAAATTTATGGGGCAACAACTATATAGTTTTATTGGCCAATTCTGGAAAAGATAAGAATCACTTTATGCATAGCTGAATTCTGATGACAATTACTCCTTGGAGATGTCATCTGGAGACAAGGAATGCACCTTACATTGCATATCTTCAGTAGGTCAACCTTGGACTGATCCCTCTTCTATCTGGGATACCTCTCTTTCCCCTCAAACTCCTGTGGTCTAAGGAGTTAACTTAGATGTGCTTAGCTTGATTCTAGAGTTATAGCAGCAAATGGTAAATACGCAATCTTTTATAGATGACATTTTTTTGAGTCAAAGTCTTGTTATATACAGGCCAGGTAATTTTTAACTTGTAGTCCCTCTGCCTCAACCTTTTGAATGCTGAGATTACAGGCATGCAATTGTTTTCTTTTCTTTTGTTTTTAAGTAAAACAATAGATACTAAAACATTACAATTCAGAATTTTTGTTTGTCTTTTTGTTCTTTTTAACAAAAGACGTCTCAAACTTGATTATGTAGCTAGAGATGAACTTGAATTCCTAATCTTCCTGTCTTCACCTCTCATGTACTGGAATTACATATGTGAGTCGTCATGCCCTGTTTATGTGCTGCTAGGGATAGAATTGGGGATTTGTTCATGCCAGGCAAGGATTCCATCAGTGGAGCCCCATCCCTCAGAAAGATTGGTTATTTAATATGTGAGTGAGACTGCTGGCTAGAGCTAGTCATATGAAAAAAGTTCTCTCTATATTACTTTTCTCTTACATTAAGGATGCCTATGCTAATAGTTGAAAATGTGGTATTAAATGTCAGCATACAAAAAGGAGATCTTACTGAGATGTGTGTTCTGTTTGGCTTAGAATATTATTTGTGCTTGAAACAGAGGTCTGCAGTGTTGCTATGGTGTATTCAAACAGACTCACTGACCATTGTAACTGCTCCTCAGTCAACAGACTAACACATTCTACAGGGTGCAATCTAAGCAGTGAATTTAGAGCATTACCCCTCCCCCCTTAATCTCTTTACTGCCAGATCAAGCTGCAGGAATGAATGAACAAACTCAGATCTCAAGATCTCAGTGGAAAAGATACTTTTCTTTTGAAAAGTCACAGGGCAGCTCTTCATCCCTGGTTCAGTTCCTCTTGGGAGAGCGTAGGTGGTGTCTTATGCCATCTAGGAGCTTCAGGTGAAGGAAGCAAACTTGTGCTGTTCTTCAATGACATATCATTCTTATCCATCATCCCTTTGCCAGAAGCATGCTTGTGTATCGCTTAATGATGGGTGTATCTTTTGAGAAAAATATCCTTGGGCAATTCTGTAGTATAGTGTATACTTACCCAAGCTGAATGATGCTGTGGAACCACTGTCTTGCATATGGCCGTTGGTTATAGAAATGTTATAGAACCACAGTTCTGTGGCTCCAGTTTGTTAGGCAGCTAAAGAGTGGCTGAGAGTGTAAGAACACTGCAGCATTGTAGAAACCTGCTCTTGCTTTTTTGGAGTTGCCTTCTCTTGTCTTCATCTCTCTTTCTTTGTTGCCATCTTGCTAACTCTCCTTTTTTTTTTTTTTTTTTTTTCCTTCAGCCCACTTCTGACACAGCAAGATGGTCCCTGAGCCCTTTGCCCATCTTGTATCATCAGCATGATCTCAACTCTGTAGACTTCCACTCTCTCCCATCCATAGTCACAGCACCATTCTTGCCTCTCTTTAGAGTTCCAGACTCTACCTGCTTTTGGTAGTGTTGTGGTGTGAAGCATGTCTCATATGCTGGGGTTATGGGAGGTAGTATAGAGTCCAGATCAACCATCCTTTGAATGACCTAACTTTACTTTCCTGTGCTGGTGCACCTCCTGTACTAAAGATAGCCAGTGTATAGTATTGTTTTCAGGACTATCCTACAAAGTATTCTATGTAAAGTGTCTTAGCACAGTGCTGGGAGGAGGCAGAGACTCAGCCAGAGATGCTTATTAGACATTTCTATTTCCATATGAAGGTCTTGCAGACACCCTGAACTGCCCAAGCCCAAACTCATTACCCTTAGGTAATGCTCACATCAGTGGAATCTTGGCTGATGTGTGATTGGTGATGAGGACACTTGGTGTGTCTGCATCCCTCATCGTTCCTCAGCCTTCCTCCCCTTCAGACTTACTCCTTTACCATCTCTAAACCCCAGAGTCACCCTTGAACACCCTCTACCTCTCCTCCAGTCCCCTTGTGATGTGGACTCTACATGATCTGTCCCTAAAAAAGAATTTTGTAAGGTGAGAAGTACCCATGGCTTTGTCAGGTGACCTGACCTTGCTTGTCTTGTTTGTGTTTTCATCAAGCCTTCTTGTGGTACGTTGATGCTTCCAGCTGGGTCTTTGAATGAAGGAGGCACATTCTCCAGACACTTCTGCCTCTGCTTGTTGCTCCTTCTCTTGAAATGCCCTATGCTCTCCCCTCCCCCTTCTCTTCTTTTCCCATCTCCTCTCCTCCCCAGCTCTCTTTCCTCTCTCCCCACCCAGAGCTTGTTTTGTTCAGCCTCTAGCTTACTTCCCATACAGAACACTCGGTATAGTCAGGGATGATCATTTATAGAGTGTTTGCTTCTCAGTCTCCATCCTCTTCCCCAGTGGCCAAGTCCCATAGAAGTCAACATGTTTCATTTAAAAGTAGATTTGGCATGGGGGCACTGCCAATCCAAGACCCTATATAGACTAGGAAGTCCAGGGACTTATGAAAGAGTAAATCTTAGACTCTGTACTCTGGACAGAGTATATTGATTACCATCTTCTTTCTGTTTATCAAATGATGGGGTTAATTGGATAATGTGATCCTATTATAGCTCAAGCATCCTATGCAGTGCTTTGTGTGGGGCGCTGGGCATGTTTGGACATGTCTCAGGATATCCTGTGTGAATATTTGTGTTGTGTACGCAAAGGCTCCTTTGTACACCAGACAAGGCACAGAAACAGGTGATGGGAAACCACAACCACTTCTAGTTGAGGATCTATGTTTCAATCAGAACAAAAAAGTCAGTTACTTCCAAAATCTGAGGACACAGAACATCTCATTTACATGTCTTTGGTAAAAGAATCCATCGTGCTGTTGGACAGTGGGATTTGAACCCAGAGCTGCCTGATACCTGATTGATCCCTGTCTCCTTTTGCTGCTGCATACTACCTCACAGCTACCTGCTGCTTCCTGAAGGGCTGGGTAGTTTGTTTGGATTCTTTCTTCTAACAATTTGCAGGATATTTTCATCCCCACTGTATGAGATGGGAAACAGGCCCAGTTGGCAAGCTTAGGTAACTTGTGCATAATCCCCACATCTATGTAGGATTTATTGTTTGTTCATAGCTCTGTCCCTTCTTTCAGTGTCAGAATCAGTTCAAGGTTTAGCTATGGACATTAAATAATGACCAAAGCAGAATAAAAACCAAGAGGCCCACATGCCCTTCTAGTGTTCAATCCTCATAGCTGAAAGGGTTCCATGTCCAGAAGGGCCATCTCTTTCCCCCAAACCACCTAGCTAACTTCAGAATCTTTCCCCAATGTTTTGGGACAGCAGCTCCTCAGTGGACTCGATGCTCGTTACACTCCTAACAGTCATCCATCTACTGGTGGCCACGGGTGGCCTCTTGCCTTGCTCCCCATTGAATCCCCACCCGAACCCCAGCACAATACCTTCCTGATGTTAAAGGGGTTGTAAACTCATCACATATAATGTTCAAAACTGAACTTTATGTACCAGATGAATGGTACAGCAGATAAATGAGGCAGCCATGTGTATGGGATGGGGGGTAAACAGTCTCCAGTTCATAAGGGGACTTTTTTTCTTTCAGTAGTCTACTGAGTAGCTATTGCTATGAAATCAGTTTCTCAAACCTCAGTGGCTTAAACACACACAAAACAGCCTCCCCCCAGTCATTTATCAGTTCAGGGCAAGGGTTTATCAAGTCAAGGGCTCTGGGAGTCTCGTGCTTCCACACCTCTCCTCTCCTTAGAGATTCCTAATGCTTCCTCTGCATTTAACTGGCAGATCTGGGAATCTAGAAACAGGAATGCTCAAGAGATTTTCTCTGCCAGGCCTGGTGTGTACCATTTCCGAGACCATGAATTGAATCCAATCACAGAGTCTCCTGGGCCAAGTAGGTCAGTCCCAGAGGAATTGATTCTGGTGGTGCCCAGCAATGGCTGCCAGAGCCAGTAGCCCCTGGATCACACAGGCTCATGTCTATCTGCAGTGGGTTCCAGTAACTAGGAAATGTACAGATTTCTTCTGTTTTGACATTACAGACAAATTCCTGTGATGAAAATCTAAATTATTGCATCGGACTCATCGAACAAGTTGCCAAAGTACAGGCACAACTCTTTGGGATCCTCACAGTGACAGCCCAAGAAGGTGAGAGCAGCTTCTGCCTCCCCATCCCTTAAACCCTCTCCTTTCTGTTTGCTGTGTGTGTGTGTGTGCGTGCGTGCGTGCGTGCGTGCGTGTGTGTGTGTGTGTGTGTGTGTGTGTGTGTGTGTGTGTGTGTGTCCCAACCCTGCTGATCTGTATGTTCTCTTAGGAGGACATAATGAGGGTGTGGAAACAATCAAGAGCCGCCTTTTGCCTTTGCTGGAGACTTCTTTCAGTTCTGTAAACGTGTTAAAACATATGGAGAACAAGGACTCCTCTATGCAGGTAAGGATGCTCAAGGGTCATACAGCATAATAAAACTGGAACTGTCAAGACAGGAAAACTAAGCAAAGAGTGTCCTCTCCTGTCTTGGTACTAGTAACATCCATAGGTCAGTGTCAGTTTCTAGAGAGTTGGAACACAGACTGGAAAGACAGGATGTATCATATAAGGTATCTGTCCTTTCATGTTTCCTATTGCCACAAGCTCCCCGAGGCTGGATAATATACACATACGTGTATTTACTTTACACTTTTGGAGTTTGAAAGCCCAAGCAGCATGATGTAGACTTCAGTGGGGATCTTTCAAGGGACAACATTATGTTGGTGGGTGGGGGTGTGTATGGGAGGAAGTGATCATATGGCAGGACGGGAAACTAAAGCATGGAGAGGGGCCAGGCTTGCTCCTTCATAATAACTCTTTTGAGAGCTAGCCAGAGTCTCATGAAAACTTCTAGTTTCCCATGTTCTAATGGCTTTTCCCATCAGACCCTACCTGTCATCAGGACACACCAGAGCCCAAGCTTCCAATCCATGTACTCTTGAGGAAAGCAATGTAGCCATATTATATACCATGGCAGTCATTAATTGTACTATCAAATGTTTAAATGGCTTTGTATAGATTTCTAATAAAAGATGATGTAGTTAGAGTGGGCTGTTCTGAGCAGAAACCAGAAGGTGAAAGGTTTCTACTTAGGTGAGAACCAAACTGGACAGAAAACTGCACTCTCTGCAGGCCCTGGGAAAGTTAGAAACCTTTATGTTTCCATATACGTATTTGCCAAGTTAATGGCAGGATCCTGACTTTTAAAATGTGGTAGGTATACAAAAACAAAACAGCTTTGCAGGGGGCCTGGCACTTGGGAACTCTCTCAGCCTAGAGATGTCAGTTGTCATTAATATTTTTTTGAGGACATACACTGATTAGAGTTTTACTTCTGTGGGTGTTATTCTGAATTAGGACCATGCTTTGAATCATTTTATTCTGGGAGTAGATATGATGTAGGATGATGTTATAAGGTCTTTACTTTAGAACAAGTTGTAATTTATATACAGTGAAGTTCACAGTAGGTGAGTTTTGCAGTCAAATGCTCTACCAGGGACCTCTAGTAGATGAGTTTTGAACTAGGAACAAACACACAACACTAATTCCTGCACTGATATACAAATCATTACCACCCTCCATGCCTGCCTTGTGCCACCTTCAGAGCAGCAACTGGGGGTTCCTGCTGTAGAGGTTTACACAAATGGAGCCAAGCTCTTTTGTGTATGGCTTCTTTTGCTTAGCACGGTTTTAGTCATCTGTCCATGTCATTTTCCATACTATTCTTTTTCTTTCCAGGACACGTATAATAGAAATAAAAACAAAGACACTGGTTTTCGGGATCAGGACCAACAGCTAGTAGACAATGAATCCAGCCCAGACAGTCAACAAAACCAGGTTCAAGACGAGTAAGAGGAATGCAAGTTATCTTTTTTTCAAACAGAATTGTTCTAAAATTAGTTACATTTTAAGTTTGGAAAGATAATAATGGGTCATGTGCAATGTAGGGATTTGCAAGTAGTACGTGTGTGTGTGTGTGTGTGTGTGTGTGTGTGTGAGAGAGAGAGAGAGAGAGAGAGAGAGAGAGAGAGAGCGGGAGAGAGAGAGCGGGAGAGAGGGTGAGGGGGTGTTTGGGGGACTGAGGTGGACCTGGGTACCTATACTCTGTGATCCTTGGTTCTTCACCTCCATCTCTGTTGTTCTTCAACAGCTTGAACTTTAAATAAAGACCATGAGATAATAATGTGTTAGTTGTCAGAGAATGTGTAGGAAGAGAAGGACGATGAAGGAGGGTGGAAGACAAGGTGAAGAGGAAAACAGAAAGAGAAGTGGAGGGGACAGGGCGGGGCGGGGTGCCTGTATCAGTTACTTTCTCAGTGCTGAGACACAGGACCTGACAGGAAGTGGTTTAAGGGACACAGGGTTCATTTTGAGGAAATACATCCCATCCTGGTGGGGAAGGCATGGTGGCTGAATCAGGAGCAGCTGCTCACATTGCATTCATTCAAGGGGGTGGGGGAGTGATGAATCCTAGGCTCAGCTTTTTCCCTTTTGTTCAGTCTGGCAGGTAGGCAGCTGCTTCAGACTTCAATTACCCAATCTAGACAATCCCTCCCTGGCATGCCCAGACGCTTACGTCCCAGTGGTTTTGTTTTTTACTATATTTTATTACTTATACATGTATATATAATAACTTAGTATGTTAATATATGATAATATATATGTATATATACTTAAAAGTTAGGCAATACCAGACAAGAAGAAAGAGTCATATTAAGCTTGGAAATCACTGCAAAGAAATTTCAGACTTTGGATCTGAACTTGAGGAAGGTAGGCAATTTATATGGGACACCATTTGATATGCTTAATTAAAAAGCAAACAAAACCAACAACAGCAAAACTCACCCCCCGCCCCAGCATCCACTTCATTCCTACCATGGACAGGACAGCAAGTAAGTCAGGGATGGATAGTTTGTGACTCTATCTTGTTCTTTGGTGGAATTTTCTTTTTTCCTTCCTACATGGAAAGTCTTCCATTTTGCTTAATAATAAAAATAATACAAATTTGCTTCTCAAATACATAGAAATAAAAATATAAAGGTAAGCCAGATGGCAGTGGTGCGTACCCTTAATCCCAGCAGAGGCAGACTGATCTCTGAGTTCGAGACCAGCCTGGTCTACAAGAGCTAGTTCCGGGACAGGCTCCAAAGCTACACAGGGAAGCTCTGTTGCAGTTCCCGCCCCCCCCTCCAAAAGTCATGTTAGCTCACTGTTCAACATTTTGAATACTTTACTCCAGAAACAGTGCGTGCCTGTACCTACACACACACACACGTATGCAGCTGCAGTGGGCAAATGTGCACACACAAGCTGAGCTCCTCAAAAGATTCTAAGTGTTTCATCCCATGTTAGCTGATTTCTTCATTTGCCAGTTCTCAGTGAGATGGGCTTATCTCGTTGATCATAGTCCTCTTTGTGTAAAGTGTCTACTAAATCCCAAGAGCCATTTCCCTTCTGAGTTGGTTTGCCTCTTGGAATCTTTCCCTGCTCCATTCTTAGGCATCCCAAAGGTGAGTCACTTGGGTCCTGCACTGTTCTGTGGTCTTTGCTGGCCTTGGTTCCCTCTGGCCCTAGTGTCTCATGCTCATGGGTTCTGCCTTAGGGCTTGTCAGCTTCAGCTTCATATTTGCTGGCAACTGCTTCAGATGATGATGGCTCTCTGGTTTCTCTAGTTATAAAGGAAAGCTTTGAGAATTTGTTGCATTTTGATGTCTGCCAGCACAGATAGGGTCAAGATTTCCTACTCTGTTTTTGTGTGTTACATGGGTCTCCCATCACTCTTAAGGGGTGAGAAGGACCAGGAATCTTGATTGTCTTGCTGTGAAGAGGCCATGATCATGAAACTCATCACTGAAAGCATTTAATTGGGGGCTGGCTCACAGTTTCAGAGGTTTAGTCCATTGTCATCGTGGTGGGAAGCATGGAAGCATGCAGGCAGACATGGTGCTGAAGAAGCAGCTGAGAGATCTCCAGGCAGTAGGAAGAGAAAGACACTGGGTCTGGCTTGGGCTTTTAAAACCTCAAAGCCCATCCATCTGTTATGATACATTTTCTCCACCAAGGATCTACTCCAAAATCTCCTAATCCTTCTAGGTAGTGCCATTACCTGAAGACTAAGCATTCAAATATATGAGCCTGTGGGGGCCAATCTTACTCAAAGCAAAACGTTGGTAAATGCATGTGTTTTTTTGTTTGTTTTTTGAGACAGGATTTCTTTGTGTAGGTCTGTAGACCAAGCTGGCCTCAAACTCAAGAGCTCTGTCTTCCTCTGACTCCCGAGAGCTGGGATTAACAGCTTGCATCACCACTGCCCAGCTGCATTTTTTAAAAAATGCATTTTCTTTGGAAAATGCTTCCAGGATGGAAATTTGTAAGAATAGTGTCAACAACACCCAACCCACCCTTTCATGTCATGTGTCCCATTTACTTTATCTTTCCCGAGTGACTCGTTTTCCTTCCAGAGGCCTTCATACTCACATGGAGATAGTTGCTTCCATGCCTCAACTTTGCTTAGTTTCATTTAATACCTCTTTGGCTCTTACTCTGTTTTTACTTAAGATTTTCTAGATCATGGAGTCTGTGTACCCTGTGTTAGAAATCTTCTCAAAGAATCAAGTCCATGCATCACAAGACATTTAAATGAAATATATTTACTTGACTAAAACAGCTTCTAGTTGAAGAATGTATCTCTAGCTCTTATCCAGTCCTTATGTCATCCAAATGTGTGAAATTAGTACTGTGCTTGCCTGTGTGTAGTTGTACATATATGTTCATGCTATGTGCTAGGAGAGGAGGTACATCTTTATCTCTGTCTGCACCTTTCCTCTTGGTCCATTTTCTTTGCTATTGTTGATTTTCTTTTGTTCTCTCTTGATTAAAAAAATAATTTTTTCACATTTCCTCTGCCAAACAAATGGTGTACTGTTTTTAAATTCAGCCTCAGGCCATGGGCAGAATGCAGCCAAAGTCTTTGCCAGAATGATATGAAAGGCTTCTACTCCAATCCCAGTGAAGTTCTGTTAGTCTGAAACCTTGTGAGTTGGTACTGTCCATACTTCTACAGTTCATAGTACATCTTCATTCTGGTCCTCAGAGAACCTTCCAGAGGGCCATTAAGCTCTGATTACAGCATTCTAGGGCTTTTTCCCGCCTGCAGCTTCAAACTCTTCCATATTATTCCCACAAACAGTTGCATGAGCCTTCTAGTCAGGGAGTCACACATAGCACCCACCTTACTTTTTAGGACCAATTTGTGGTTTAGTTATGCTCCTCAATGCTGTGACTAAAATCCTGATGTCTTAGTTAGGGTTTCTATTGCTATGATAAAAAATAATGACCAAAATCAGCTTGGAGATGAAAAGGGCTTATTTAATCTTAATTGTAGTACATCATCCAGGGAAGTCAGGACAGGAACTCGTGGCACGTTACCTAAAGATATGGACTGATGCAGAGGCTGTGGAGGGGTGCTGCTTACTGGCTTGGTCCCTGTGGCTTGCTCAACCTGCCTTCTATACCACCCAGGGATTTCTGCCTAACAGTGGCACTGCCCACTGTGAACTGAGCACTCAGAGAGCAATCAACAATCAAAATGCACCATGGGCTAACCCGCGACATAAAACTAACCAGCATGTCTGACTAGATGAAACTTAGAGGGACAGACATTTATATTGGCTCATGGTTTAGGGAGATATAATCCATTACAGAGAGGAAGGAGTGTTGGAGACATTGGAGGCAGTTTGCTCATATCTTCATGAATCAGGAAGTAGAGTCAGGAGGACGTTGGCTTTCAGTGACTTTCTCCCCGTACCCTAATAGTCAGCCCATGGGATGCTCTGACTCCATTAAAGGTCATTCTCTCTTCAGTTAATCTTCTCTGATATACCTCCAAAAAACATATCTTGCCAAGGTGTTTCTTAATAGAATCAAGTTGATAACCACCACAATAGATAATGACTGTTTTTATACTGAAAAGTACTAGAAAAAGAAATGAAGCCCCACAGTGAAAACAGTGAGAACAGGAGTCGGTACATAGTGGAAAACGGAGAGCTTATATAGAGAAACTACCTGGGAACTGGACGGAAAGGGTAGATGATATGAGAGGATGGAGCAGGAGGAATCTAATGTTGGTTCTTTTAGGGATTAGCTCTGTAATCTCTCGATGTTTGACTAAGCAAGGGATGCTAGCATGCTTCTGGTTGAGTCCATTGTAATGTCTACAGTAAGGTCCAAGGGCTGAGAAGCTGTTGTTTATGGTGAATTTATCACTCAGGCTAGGAATTCCCTAGAAAATCTAGGCCTCGAGTTGGAAAGTCTGCCAATTTGGGAGAATCCGGTTTCAGTTACTGATTTCTCTTACAGTCTGGATGACACTGGAAAGAATCTTGAAGGAGCCAAGAACAGATCAACCATATCCCTCATGGCTGCAGAGGAGGAGATAAATCAGCTAAAAAAGCAGTAAGAAAAAACAAATAACAACCCATAGAATTCCTGCAGCTGCCATGGAACCACGGAGCTTAGCTTTTCAGTCATTTATTGCAATATGAGAACTCACCACGAAGGAGGAAGTGCAGCACTGTTTTTGTGAATATTTAGTCTCCTTTTCTCACTACAAGAATTTCTTCCTGACCACAGGAAATTTCTAAAATGTAGCACAGTATCCAGGACCCTAAAAGCCCTCCCATCATTCTACAGCAATTACTGTTACTATTGCTCGTTCTTCCAATATTCTGAAATATCAAAGAGCAGATTGAAGTCTATATGGTTTTGGAAGAAGTTAGTTTCAAATAGGTTCATCATCTTCAATTGTTTTAGCATTTCCTTCATGTTGAGCACTTTTAAATTTCAGATGAAACATTGGGATAAACTTTTGTTAAATCTTAATTTAGACCTCAGACTAGTTCCTCATAGTTGTTACTAGAGGGAAACAATGAGCACAGGTCCTTTATCTCCTCCTCATTCCCCCAAAGGAGCAAGTGGGAAGTATATTTTATATGTACACATACATATGCACACATCAAGACACATATCTTTTGAGTACTTTTCACATATATTTTAGCTTAATTTAGTTTCCATACATGTTCTAGTGTTTATTTCTTTTGGAATACTCCCAAGGCTTGGGTATGTTTCCCCGTCTTTCTCCTCCTGCCCCATTTTGATCTCTTGTTCTGCTTGGTACGCCACCTTGAATTCTTGGGTGATATTACCCGGTTGTCTTCTGCCGTTTCTAGTGCCTCTGGCTCTCACTACATTCTAACCAGCCCTTCTTCTTTTTCCTCTCCCACTGTTGTCATTTCATCACCACAGGCTCTCGGGAACGTTTGCTTCCGTGTTACTGGCTCTCATCTCTTTAGGTCTTGATGAGGATGTCGATTTTGTTCCTAATGTTTTTATTTTAGTGCTGCATTGTTTTTAGAGGTTCATACCTCCAGCTAGTCTTGTGCAGTCTTCCTTTGTACTCTGTCTGTTCAAGAAATGAGCTAACGAGGGTAGGGGATTATACCAGTGTTGGACTGTGTTTTGAAGGTGAAATGTTTTTGGAATTTTGTGCAGTGAAGATGAGTCCTGTTGTAAAACACCCTGATGTTCCCAGGGGATCCACATAAATAGCCTTTCTTTAGGAAGCCTCTCACCTTGTCAGCTGTAGAAATGGGTGAGTCCCATCCTGTGATTTTGTTCTTTACTTACTGTATGTGTTCACATATATCTCCCTGGGGATTTCTCTGTGCAATGATGGTATGGCATGCTGAGTGGTGCCCGTTGTTTCCTTCCTTCCGTTCTTTTCTTCTTCTTGCTTTCCTAATCCCTTTCCTACCTCTTTAAGAAAGTATTTCATTTTTTTCTCATCCTATTTCCTTTCTTTCTCATTCCTATTTCTTTGTCGTTGTTCTTAGGCTTAAGTCTCTTCAAGCCCAGGAAGATGCCCGCCACAGAAACTTAGAGAGTCGGCGCTCTGAGGCGGCTTCAAAATCTGATCGTCGAGCTGGGAGCAAAAGGACCCCAGACATGCGGGGCCCAGAATCACGGGGCTTAGACTCACGGAACCAAGAGGTGATATCCGACTATGAGAAACATCTCCAAAACCTGAAGGATGAGATAGCTGTCTTGTCTGCTGAAAAATCCGGCCTCCAAGGAAGGTCTGACAAACTCTCATAGATCCTTTCATTTGCCTTTTTTTTTTCTTCCTTGGTTAGTAGCTAAACCTGGTTTATAGGGAGAGGATGACAGAGTAAAATCAAAACCCCAATGGCCTGGAAGTTTTGGTATGTAAAAGGGTTATTTTCTTCAGCTGCACCCTTCTATCCAGGGAAAATAGCTGAGAGCTCATGAAGGTGATGTCTTGGCCTTGAAACCAGGCTTGCATGAGCTGACTCTTCAATGGATAGTACATGTTGGAAGAATGTTCCATAAGCTGAAGATCTTTCCCCAGGAGTCCTATGTCCAGTGACTGGAGAGGGTTGTTCATTTTACAGCACTACATTTCCACACCCCCTTGAGTCACAGTTCCATTTTGTAACGAGTAGTCTGCAGCTCACTATATAGTCCGGACTGGTGTGAGTTTTGCAATCCTCCTGACTCAACATCTTGAGTGGTTGGACTCTAGGTGTGAGCCATCACAACTGTCTGGAATTTCCTCTTCTCTCTGTCTCACTCTGTTGATGGGCCATGCTTAGGTTGTTTTTGTGAAATTCCTGCATTCAACATGGTGGAGTAGATAGTGTTAAGTGTGAGCAAAGCAACTATATCTCCAACATAGCATATACTTACACTAGTCCTCTCTTCTCTCCGGCATCTCCTATTGACCACTGCAATGGCTCCCAGCTCTCCCCATTTGCCTAGATGATTCCCTAGACTCTCCTCTGTGCTGTACCGATACTGACTAACCTTGAACAGCCACTGCCAGTGGTGGAAGTATTTGCCCAATGGCAGCACCAGGAAGGAAGGTGGCAGTCTCCACTTGTAGAGCCATCTGACTGGATGACTGCTTTATCCGGCTTCTTTCATAGTTCCTTCTGTAAGACTTCTCTCTGGGGCCTCCTGGCCTTGGGGCTGGCTGAGCTGATATTTAACAGTTTAGTTTGCTCTTGATAGCAATCCAGTTTCAATCGCAAGGCCCTGGGAAGTACTTGGACGTCGTGATAGCACTCCAAGGTCAGTTTGAGGAACTCGAGCATTTGGCTTGTGTGATAACTCCACCCTTCACTTGGTTGGAGTTACCTACAGATGGTCCCTGAGAGCTTCTCGTCCCCCCTTTGTGAAATGACCAGCTGTCAAAGCCACAGACAAGGGGTAACTGAAAATATAAATTGAGGTGCTCATGATGAAAGTGTTTGAATTCACCAGGGAGATATGGGGTATTCTCTCCCATGTCTGGGGACCTTTGGAGACAAAAATGCCTCCCCCCAGGTCACCCCACCCCCATCCCCACATTTGAGAGGTAGTATGGTGCTAGTGTGTCATTTGTGAAATGTGTGGGGAGAAAACTACGAGTTCACGAAGTCCAGGAACAAGGGAAGACTGAGTCAGTCTTGCCCAGCCAATGCTTGTTCACCCACAGGTCAGCCAGGAGCCGGTCTCCTAGCCCTACCTGCCGGAGCCGCAGCCGCAGCCGGAGCCACAGCAGGTCCAACAGCCCCTGCACCGCAGTAGCTAAAGTCAGAAGCCCGTCCCCAAACCGGTCCAAAATGTCCAGCGTGGCTCGCAAAGCTGCTCTCCTGTCCCGATTCAGCGACGCCTATTCCCAGGCCCGTCTGGACGCCCAGTGCTTGCTGCGCCGTTGCATCGACAGGGCTGAGACGGTGCAGCGGATCATTTACATCGCCACAGTGGTAAATGCAACATCTGCAGCTGGACTTCGGGTCCTTGGGGCAGGGGGAGATCGATCACAAAGTGCAACCATAAAAGGCTGGTGCTTCCTGAAGTCATGGGGAGAGGGGGATTCCAGTCTCCCTATTTGTCTCCAGCTTCTCTTCCTTCCTTCCTTCCTTCCTTCCTTCCTTCCTTCCTTCCTTCCTTCCTTCCTTCCTTCCTTCCTTCCTTCCTTCCCATCCTTTCATTATTATCTACTTGGGAGCTATTGGCTCCTTCATGACTGCGAATTATCACATATACTAACATTTATGCTGACCAGACATTTACTGCAGCGTCTGTCACTCAACACAGGACTATCTCAAATGGGTACATGCTAAATTGACTGATAGTGTACCTTTTGCAGTATGTGACTACATGAGCAACACACAGTAGGGCTTTTGCTGTAAATGATTATTACTTCCTGGACTTCTGCCAGCCTTAGAAAACTAGAAGAGGGGTGCACTCACTCTTCTATGTTATTTATGAGTTACTAAAGCTGCCAATGTGTCAGCTATTTGAGTACAGAAAATTACAAAGATAACATGGAAACATACACCTTGGTTTCCAAAGAGAATATATTTGTCCTAATGGTTGGATGCCATCTCGAGATCCCATTATAAGAATAATACAAAACATCATGCTAGTGCGAGTGCAGACATATCAGAAACCCTGGATCTCTTCGTTCATGTTGAAGATCAGTAAACTGTGTATGGGCCATATCTGGCTTGTTCTTAAAACACAGCCCAGGAGCTAAGACTGAAGAACGGTTTTATACTTTTAAAGGGGTGTGATAAAAAATAATCAGTGACAGAAATGGTAGCTAGCAAAGCCTAATGTATTTACCATTTGATTCTTTATACGAGAAGCTTACTAGACCCTAGTTTATATAACTAACAGTGATTTGATTAAAGCTCCTTTGTGATTTGGTTAAAGTGATTTGGTTATCAGTGTTACCACATAACAAGTATGGGATAAAGGCTTGTTGAGTTTGTAATAGAAATCTGGAACAGGTTTTCTCTTAATGTGTTGGCTAGTACCATGACATTGCTGTGTGCCCACAGCACAGGACTTATGTCCTGCCTTTTTTTTTTTTTTTTTTTTTTTTTTTTTTAGACAGGATTTCTCTGTATTGGTTTGGAGCCTGTTCTGGAGCTAGCTCTGTAGATCAGGCTGGCCTCAAACTCACAGAGACCCGCCTGCATCTGCCTCCTGCGTGCTGGGATTAAAGGTGTGTGCTACCTCTACAAACGTTTTAACATAGACAGTCATATTTACTTACAGGTCAAAACCATGTTTGACCAACTGTGTTATCTGAACTGGTTTGATGCTGCATTCTGAATCCTTCCTAATCCCTTTCTTTGGACCTTTCCATCTCCTCTCCTCACCAGATAAACTTGCTATGTTTTCATGCACAGGAGGCATTTCATGTAGCTAAAATGGCGTTCAGGCATTTCAAGATCCGGGTGAGGAAGATGTTGACACCATCGCACGTGGGGTCGAATGACTTTGAGAACACAGTCATGGACTACATTGTTTGTCATCTTGATCTATATGACTCTCAAAGCAGTGTTAATGTAAGTATTGGGTCTCTTTTGAGGACTAGCATATGGCTGGTGATGACATACCAAATACTGATAACTTAGGAATCCACCTGTTGTTTGTTATTATGTCTATGTGGTGGAAGACAGCAACAACATCTAATTTATCCTGCACAACCAGTCCTTACTGGCTGTTTTTCTTTTTTGCATGTGTAGGCAAGTGGTGTGTGTGTGTGTGTGTGTGTGTGTGTGTGTGTGTGTGTGTGTGTATGCATGCTGCATGTGTCTGTGTGGGTGTACACACATCTGTGAAGGCCAGAGGTTGACACTGGTTATGTCCCCTGCTCACTCTCTAATTACTAAGGCAAGGTCTTTTGTCAAGCTTGCCAGTTTGGGTGCATTAGCTAGCCAGGTTGCCCAGGGAACCTCCAGTCTCTGTCTTTTTAGTGTTACGACAGTCACCTTGAATATATATGGGTGTGGAATTTGAACACAGGTCCTCTTGCTTGTGGTAAATGCTTTACATACTGAGCCATCCTTAGTTTCTTACCCAGACATCCTGTGGGGGAAATGTGCTGAGCTTTCTTCTCAGATCCTTTAGGTGGGTCTTTGAGATTGGGAGTTGAAATGTTTTAGTTCTTAAGAGCAAGGACTCTGGGAAATGAGTATAGATTTGACCTTGACTTTGCCCTGTGTTTACTGTGCTGCCTCCCACATTCATTTAAATTCCCAGTGGTCTGGTTTCCTAATCTATGAAAGGGGGCATCAGAGATCATTATCCCACAGAGTTACTGGGATGGGTCAAGGAAAGGAGGGGAGCTATTTGTCTAGCACAAGACTTGGTGCATAGTATTTTACTTACTCTATGGTGTAGTGGGGTGTGGTGACACATTATTTATGATTTAATAAAGACTACCTGAAGAATCAGAATGCAAAGCCAGGCACACTAGTTAGCTATAGAAACTGGATAGTGGTGGCACATACCTTTAATCCCAGGACTCAGGAGACAGGGGCAGATGGATCTCTCTGAGTTCAAGGCTACCTAGGGGCTACATTAGAGTGAATCAGTCTAAAAAAGAAACATCCTATGTTTAGAGAGTATATAAGGAGCTCAATGCAGTCTCAGAGAAGTCTGGGATTCTGAGGCTTGGTGGAGAGCAGTGCCATCTGGAGATGCAATCTAAGGTTTTCCGGGTCGCCCCTTTGGTCTGAGCATTGATAGAGGTGAGAACTCTAGAGGCTGGATGCTTTGCTTCTCTGATCTTCAGCTTGGACCCCGATATCTGTCTCTGGGTTTATATTATTCATGCTACAACAGGGGACTAGCCAGTGTCTTTGGCTGGCATCTCATACATTTACTCATGGAAGAAAAATCAGGAGGAAAGATGTCTCAGTTGGTAAAATGCTTGTTGTGGCAGCATGAAGACCTGAGAGCACACATAAAATCTGGGTGAGGTGGCACACGTCTGTCATCCTAACATGAGGGGTCAGAGGCAGGCAGATCTCTGGGACTCATTGGCTGGCCTGACACCCTACTTAAATCAGTGTTCTCCATGTTCAGAGAGAGACCTTGTCTCAAAAAATAAGATCAAGGGCAATAGAGGAAGATATCCATCACTAACCTGTGGACTCCACATGTACCTGCATTCACATGTGCACACATCCATATGAACATGCCCCCCCCCACACCCATGAACTAATAAACACCATGGGCCCCGTCCTTCAGTTTTTAAGAGGGATTTCCCTCTCTTGTTTCTGCTGCTTTCTTTCTTCCTTCCCAGCATCCTCTTCCTTGTAGCACACCTGCCCCATTTTCTGGATTAACTTAATTCCATTCACATGCTCTTTCCCATCAGTCGAAACTTGTGTTGGGATTCCTCTGGATGTCAGAACTTCTTCTTCTTATTATTCTTTTTTTGGGGGGGGGTTTGAGACAGGGTTTCTCTATATTGCTTTGGAGCCCATCCTGGAACTCGCTCTGTAGACCAGGCTGGCCTGGAACTCACAGAGATCACCTGCCTCTGCCTCCCAAGTGCTGGGACTAAAGTTGTGTGCCACCAACGCCAGGCTATATCAGAGCTTCTTGTCACAAGTTAGCAGCCAATTGATGCCATCGTTTGTTTTTCAGGATGTGATCCGTGCCATGAATGTCAACCCCAAGATCTCATTCCCTCCTGAAGTTGACTTCTGTGTCCTCAGTGAGTTCATCCAGGAGATATGCTGCATTGCCTTTGCAATGCAGTCCTTAGATCCACCTCTTGACATCGCTTTTGGAGCCGATGGAGAAGTCTTTAATGATTGCAAGTAAGACATAGGAGCAGGTGCCAAAAGATACTCACTGTCTCTGCTTCCTGGGAAGATGAAGGGAAAAGAGCCCTGGGTAGAGAAATCAGTAGCCACTCCGGTGCCCTGAGTTTCTTTGTGCCACTATCTGGACCCCTTTGTGGGCTCATTGTTCACTGAGCATAGTAGCTTTGGGGAGACCTAAGGAGGTGCCTGGAGCCTGGCTGGATCATTGGTAGTAAAAAAAATATATATATATACATTCTATGAATATAGACACAGTTAAAATTTTCTATTATTTTTATTGTGTGTGGCATATGCATGTGTGTGCACATGTGTGCAGATGGATGTCAAAGGTTGACATTCAGAGACACTGATTCTTACTGCATGATTTAGACAAGGTCTATCAAAGTGTGGTGTGTACACCATTAACCTCAGAAGCCGTCCAAGCATTTGCTAGGGATACACACAGCTGCACAATAGTGTGAGCCGTTTTCTGCAGTGGTCCCAGCATGGGGCTTGGGAAGCTGAAGTTTTTAAACAGCAGCACACTCCATGAGCATGGATGTGCCGGACTCTTGTTGAGAACCATTAGAGGCTACTACATTTCCCACAGTGAAAAGTCTTCTAATAAACCATGAGAAGTTGAAATGACCTGGTACATTCACAGAGATTTGGCAAGACCTTAGCTAAGAAGGCCAGCTCTGGCCTCAAGCTGCCTAGATTTAATTCTTGGCTCTACCTATGCATTGTGTGATCTTGGGTGTACTGTGATTATGTATGTATGTATGTATATGTATATATATATCTTCATATATATATATCTTCATATATACATATATGCACTATTAATATTATTTTTCTGTTCAGTTTTATTTTTCTAGGGGTGGGGGGCTAGTAATGCATTTTCCCCAGAACTGGAAAAGGCTAGCTGATATAAATCAGATGGAGCAGTGAGGATGATGCTGGGTGTGTAGTGAGTACTCAGGAATATGACTCTGGGTCTTTGTCTTAGCCATAGGTCATGATAGGTAGCTGCCCAGCATTCTTGCAAGCTTGTTTGTTGATGATCAAGACACATCTTTCTCTCACCAGAGGGATGAGCTTTCTGGTTGGGGTGATGCATGCTCTTGTTCTAGTGTCTGTTAGGTCATTGTTCCCAATCCAGAATGGATGCTTGAACATTGCCCTGCAGTTGGGTCTTTTTCTATACAGAGATTCTTACCACCTTCCATCTTTGTTTCTCTCTTCTTTGGGATGTGGCTATCATCATTCAGATGGTCATCCACTTTGGTTTGTGAACAACTGTTGGGTCTCAACTTTTAACCAGAGCTAACCTACTTGTATACCTGGATGGTTGGCCAGTTGAAATTAGAGTTCTTAACTGTGATTATGATTCTATTGTTGTCTCTCTGTGTCTAGAGGTCCCTATCTGTTGAGTCAACCAGCCAGGGGTTGAAAATAACCAGGAAAAAATGTTTGAATGTATATCAGCAATTTTTTTCCTTGTCATCCCCTAAATAGTACATAATAATAATTGTCATATATTTACACTGTATTAGATATTGCTAAGTAATCTAGATTTGATTTAAAGTATGCAGGAGAAGGTCCATAGATTATAAAAAATGTAACAACATTATCTATCTATCTATCTATCTATCATCTATCATCTATCTAACATGTGTTTGTTTATAGTCAATCTTACTACATAGTTCAAGCTAGCCTGGAGCTCATTAACTATATAAGTCTGACTTTAAACTCAATCCTTCTGCCTCAGTCTCTCAGTGCACTGAGCATTTTCCAGACTTGCAGCTCTTAGAATTCTGAGAAGATTAGAGGTGGGATTAAGTTTGTCGAAATGTTGTTAGCAGGTCTGTGCCAGAGGCCAGCTGTTCCTGGTTTCTTTTCTGAGAGCAATGTCCATCTCCTTAACCACAGAATGAGGATATGAGTAGATCTAAGCCTAGTCAAGAATGAATTTTTCAGTTGGGTTTCCCTTAGTTATGAAAAGCAGTTTCTTACCATCTTTGTTCTCCCACAGGTACCGCCGCAGCTATGACTCAGATTTCACTGCTCCCCTGGTCTTTTACCACGTGTGGCCTGCTCTCATGGAGAATGACTGTGTCATTATGAAGGGAGAAGCTGTCACCAAGAGAGGGGCTTTTGTACGGTGGCCTTGCACAATTCATCCCCAGTGTTTGATTCACAAGTTCGAGAACATTTATAAACCCAAAGATTCTATAAAAAGAAGTCAATAGAGTTGTTTGATAAGATTTCATACAAAGGAGAAGGAAAAACAGCTGCCTGTTCTTTGGACTGTCCCACAGTTCCTTGTAATTGCCTGGCACCGACTTCATTACTGCTCTTCTGTCTAAAGATGGAGTTAGCCACGGCTCATTTATCTCTTCCATCTTAGAGATAGTTTGACATTTCTAACTGTCCATTTGGGGAAATTGAGCATGTACCCTGTTTTCTCTCCTTGGTATGACATAAAGGGAAGGGAAGGACAGCAGAAAATGGGGCAGAGGATGGGGAGGAAGGATCCTCTTAACTTTGGAAGGCGGCTTCCTATAGCTCTTGGTTATAGATGGTTTGAACATCTTAACAAATTAACCAGCCTTCAAAAGGGAGTCTTTGGTAGTGTGTGTGTGTGTGTGTGTGTGTGTGAAGAGTGGGCAGTTTGTGTGCTGGGATTCATGGCCACAGGGACCTTGGATATGCATATACCATGATGTATTATTTACTTCATCCTTTCCTAGACAGAACTAGGTAAAATTTGAAGAAAGCCCCTTGGTTCAGAGCAAAGCCAAGGTGGTGGTTTGGGTCCCTGTTTTCTGACTGGGTGGGGGGAGATGCTTTGAGACTGCACATCACATAGTGGGGGAACAGAGAAGTTTGTTTTTAAGAAACTTAGAGTATTTGGTGTTTGTTTTACAAGTTAAAATCCCATTGTAGTGAAAACTATCTCTACAAAAAAATTTTGTGTTTCAAAAGCTGAGCTTATCAAAATTGGATTTTGTCCACCTGACAACACAAGAGCTCTTCAATGAACATTTTCATAACACGGGATTCTTGTCCTCAACAACTCTTTGTTAGGAATTTTTTTTTTTTTTCTAATGGAGTGCAGTTTGGAAGGGAGGGAGGTGACTTGGTCACAAGTAGTTACTCTCTATGGATCTCTCTTTCAGGGACACTTGTATTTGCCCCCCCTTTTTTTAATCAACACAATTAAAACAGCACATCTACCATGAATTTGGTGTATAATTTTCTTCATATGGACTCAGTAGTTGGCCAGAAGAGGCCTTTCATGGTGTTCAGTGAGACTTATTTATTCTGTAGCATATATGACCTCAGTGCTGCATTTACAAGGCAGATACTTAAAGAGAACAGCCAGCCATGACTCACAAAGGCAAACATGATGTCTAACAGCTGACCCATGTAAATACTTCTCCAAGCACCAGAATGTTCATACCCTCAAGTTCATCATGATGGGATTCTTCTGGAGAAGTTCTTGCCAAACTTTGTGTTGCAGGAAATAATAGGGGTGTTGTTCACACTGGTGGCAGGGGAACGTGCCATCCTGTCGGTAAAGCCAGTGGAAAGCCATATCTACCTTCACAAACTCATGACTCTTTCTCTGCCTCTTTTCCTTAGTGGAGTTCTGTGCGACCTGTAGCACGCTGCCGCAGCAGGAGTTTAAGTCCCATCTGTCCTCGTAACCGCATTGGATTAAGCACGGTACATTTCTGTCTAATCATTCATGCAGAAAACCATCTACATTGATACTTTCCTGTGAAAGTAGTGATTGCAAATTCATAGGACGAAAAAGAAACTGTTGTCCTCTAAGTGATTTTTTTTTTTTTAAACACTGCTATGGAGGTGAAATTAGCATTCTAGAAAGAAGTGGAAGTTTGTCTTTTTAATTTCCTGTTTAGGCCTTTCAAGAAATAAAAGACTTATTTAAAAGTTTTATTCTTTTCACCCGTGAACAGGCTGTTAGAGAACAGATAGCTAGACATGGGATACTTGAGTCACAGATCTGCACACATGTCCCTGCTTTTTATAAAAATTAGTACGAGTTTGGAGACTTACTTAGTCTAGATTGAAGTATTTTCTTAAGGGCAGTGAAAGTATCCATTTGTCCCCAAATTCAAAGCAAAACAGATAAAATTAGTTTCTTTGTATATTAATCCTTAGAAAGATTACTAATCTATTTAAGTTAAAAAATAACGTATTTCTGAAAACTCTATTTGCCTCATCACTGTTCATTTACTCACCATCTAACATTTAGTTAACATTCGTTGACTATGGGCCTGGATCAACTAGACAGGCTACCAACCTATCGTTCCTTCAAATGGAGATTCTATGTGTGTTTGGCCTTGTTCTCAAGGGCAGAGCTCCCAACAGCCTCTGGCAATGCAGTGGTAGAGCTTCCCCTGCAGAACCACAGAACAGCCCTGTAAAAACTCAAACCCACCATCATCTCTGAGCACACTATTCCTCCAATAGGTTCCTTCTCAAACAACTCAAAGGCCAGGTGTGTGTGTGTGGGGGGGGGCACAAAAACAACCAAGTGCAGTCTTCTCCACTAATGGCTCACCATATAGGACTATCAGTGTAATTTGAACAACTTAGTTGGATGATCAGGGTGCAGAGCAAGTTGAGAGGTCCATGGGTAATGTGGTGTGACCACCTGGAAGTGGTGAGGAAGCATTGTGTAAGCTGGTGTCTGGTTTAGTCTTTTAGAATGGTCAGATTCCGCACATGAGGAAAACCACATTAAGAAGTACTAGGGAAATGGAGAAGGCCCACAATGGAAACAGTTCTTTTGCTCTTGGGGGTTTTGTAAAACTTAATTACATAGATGAGTAAATATGTACAGGAGGTCAAAAAGAGAACCATGCATTTAGTGACCTGATAAATAAAAAGGGACTTTGGGAGCATCATGATGGGTTGCCTCCCTGTTCTAGGAGAGGGCATGTTGAGACTAGTATTAGTAGACAGCTCTCAGCCATGGAGACTTGAACTCTGGATCCTCAGTAGAAGTTTTATCCAAGGGGAGTGTCCCCTGCACTGAGTCCTGAGACATGTCTGAACTCCCTTCTCTTCATCATCCTATGTGCAGAGAGAGCAACATAGATTCCAGTGTAGTTGAGGACATAAATACATTCTCAAAGATGAAACTGAGCCATTCCTTCTCCATCTCTCCCTTCAACATGGATAGGCACCTCCAAGATGAATGTGAATACTTTGGTTGGTCTGTCTTGGGGCATGTGAAGGCCATGCTACAGAACAGATTCCAGCCTGGACAGTATCTATTTACTTAACACGTTTGAGAGAGTTCACAACAGGACACGGGAGTGTAGCTGGTGTCAGATGTGAAGTGACAGTGTGGTAGTTTCTTCTTAGGGAAGGTAATGGTAAGATTTGAAAAGTATCCTTCTGTGGATGCTCAGAACCTGCTTAGTAGTGCAGGGTTTGGACCCATGAGCACTTTTATAAAGAGATTTGAACTTGTGGCAAAATTTTAACTCTTGTTAGTTAATTATGTTAAGAAGTTTTTCTTCCATAGGCCATTGCATTGGTCGTAATTTTAGCTCTTACTAATTATGTTAAAAAGTTTTCTCTAAGCCATTGAACCCAACTTCCAATCGCCAATATAATTTAAACCAAATTATATGTGCATTTACTTAAAAAGCCTGGGAAGACTCATGGCGTGCAGTGCCTCAGAGTAACTAACTGGTTAGCTTTTGTTTTATCTTATTATATTTTATTTTGTTAGGGTTTGTTACCTCTCAGAAACTGTTCCTCTCTCTCTCTCTCTCTCTCTCTCTCTCTCTCTCTCTCTCTCTCTCTCTCTCTCTCTCTCTTAAAGAGTACTTACTGCTCTTTAAAACAAGATTTATTTATTTATTTTATCTATGTGGTGCTTTGTCTGCATGTATGCCTGCATGACAGAAGAGGGAATCAGATCTCATTACAGATGGTTGTAAGCCACCACATGGTTGCTGGGAACTGAACTCAGATCCTCTGGAAGAGCAGTCAGTGGTCTTTTTTTTAAAAATTTATTTAATTTTACATTCCAACCATAGTTCTCCCTCCTGCCTTCCTTCTCTCTCACTCCCTCCACCACCCCTCACCCTCTCCTCCCCCTTCCCCAGCAGCCAGTGGTCTTAATTGCTAAGTCAGCTCTCTGGTCCCCTGGCTAGTTTTAAGAATCATCCCTGTCCAAGTAATCTGTCCTCTGAGCTCTGCGTATTGTTTAATTCACATTGTTCTTTCATGTTTTCAGATATCTCGAAGTCGGAGTCCTTCTCCAATAAGATGTACATTGCCAAGTAAGTGGGACAGTCAAGATGGAATGGGTTTTCTGCTTTTCAGATGCCTTCTGCATTATGCCACATTTTGGAGCAAAATGATTATTCTGGGGGGAAAAAAACTTCTCACTCCAGTTCACACCATTCATTTCACTTCTGGGCCCTCTCGTTGATGGTGCCTGGGCTGATCTTATGAGTTACAGAAGAGCAATCCCCAGGGAGAGATTTAAGTGCTGTGTCCCTTCTCATTTAAGCACCTCCTTAGGCCATGCAAGAACATGACCATAGTAACTAGCTGTCTATTTTCCTCCCTAGGATACTAAAGCCACCAGCCTTGTTCGTTTGCCACAGTCCATTGGAACAGCCAGCTCCTCAGTGCCTCTACCCACCTGCCTTGTCTGCCTCCGATCTCACTTAACATGAAATGAAAAGGCAATGCTGTGTGTCACTCCGCACAGAGAGTTTAATGCTTTGGCTCAGTGCCGTTGTAACTCTAGGTCCATAGCAGTTCCTTTTATTTTGTAGGAGCAAATTCCATTACTTTCATAAAAACAATGATATAGGCATATAGGATGATATTCATTTGAACAAAGTCCATTATGAAGGTAGGGACTTCTCTCCCCAAGTACTGGGCTCTTTGAGGGCAACTCCAGGGCTGACAGTAGAAGCCATTGTCCAGCTGAGTCCCTGAGGAAGGACAAGTGCTTTTATTTACAGATCAGTCATGAATGCTCTCATTGTTAGCATCAGATTTAGCTCCCTAAAACCACAGTGTCAGTGCCTGACCCCCTCTTAACGTTTCCAAGGTACTCAGGCTGGGAAACTCCTCCCAGTATCCCTTACTTCAGGGTAAACGTAGACAATGAGGAGATATTAATTTACAAGGATAGAATAGTTTGCTTGCTTCTCTTTGTACTTTAGCAAAATGTCAAAGCTACTAGGCTTTGTTTTCTATTTCTTCTCCTTCCTCTACCTCCCTTCTCTTTCCTTTCTCTTTTTGTACACAGGTGTTATTTATTCAGTTCAGATCTGGATGCCTTAGCTTCAAGAGTCTTGACTTTTAATAAAACCATTCAGTGAAGAATGGGCAAGGGCCATCCTTGAAGACAAAATTAACACACTAAGTGCCGAGTTTTCCCAGTGTCTGCCTGTGATGTCACTGGCTACAACTGTATGTCAGTGTCAGGAGACACCATGTCATGCTTAGAGATGACTATTCTTGAGATAGTGGGTCATTCTTGATTACATTTCAACCAAAAGGCAATCTTATCCAACTTAGGTAGCTACAGCATTCTGAACCACCAATGTGTGTTAAAACTGTTAATAGTCACTTTCATTGTGTGACGAAAGGTCTTACTTAAAATCTTACTAAGTATTGAGAATGCCTCTGTATCGTAAGCCCCCGCCCCAAGTTACATGTGTTATCTAATTTGATAAAAATAGTTCAGTTATTTGTTCTCAAACCTACCAGGCCACTTGCCATTTCTCAAGCTTCTAACTTGAGCTACAGGCATGCAGAGAAAGCCAAATGGTGGAAAGCATCTTTTGGAAATGTCTGTGAACCCAGAGGAGGCTGGCCTGCCCCTATTGCATCTGAGTGTTGGGGGGCTGGAAAGCTCTTGTTTTTCTCTCTGGGTCAATGTGAGTTTCTGTGTTATTGCTCAGCACCTAATAATAAAACCACAGTAGAGTGCTTTACTCTGACATGCCTTCCAGATTCTCAGGTTTGATAGTGCCCCCCTACTTCACTAACCTATGAAAATGAACCATGATCACACGTTCATCGAGTAGACATTGACTGTAGCATGCCCCATGTTGACCCTGAGAGAGCTGCAGCCCATGGGGAAGCTAAACTTCGGGCTTTGCGTTGTCTTACTTGTAGTTCCTCTCACCTGTAAATAGCCCCCGTGGGCCCCACCCAACTGCTTTCAGTTACATCATCTCAGTGGATCCCAACAATAGCTAGGCATGTCTGAACTATTTTCTTCAGTAGACTCCACACTCTTGTTTCAATGTCTTTTGCTGTAAAGTAAGACCCTGTCTCATTTTCTTCTGCACCCACATCCACAAACACATATACACATAGATGAATACATCATGCGCATGCGCGCGCGCACCACGCACACACACACACACACACACACACACACACACACACACACAAGGGGGGGAGAGGAGAGAGTGGGGGGCACAAGGAGTGTCATGAAAGGGAAAGGTAGACTAATGAGGTGAAAAATACACCAGAGAATAGACCTCAAATTATCTGCCATCCTGGCGTTGTTAAATAAGCTAGTGGCTAGTGTGAGGTGGCAGAAGCAGTTCAGAGGACATCAATTTGAAGGTGCCCACTTCACTGGCATAGCTGTTTGCACCACTAGTTGTATCTTTAAGTTACAGGGCATCCGCTGATCATTCTAATTTGATTTCAGGCTCACCATAGGTTCTGTCATGGGCATGGTGCTGCCAGCATCATTCTGTAAAGCTAGAGTTGGTAGGAGATTTCTTAGTGGTATTGTTCTGAAAAGTTTCAGACATATAATTAAGGGTAACATGATGTGGAACTTTAAAGAAACTAGGATCTACAAACTGCATTAGGTCATGGAACTGTGAGCCCAGGCACACATGAATAAGTGAAATTTAGAATAGCATGTTAGCCCTAATACAGGAATGAACAGTAGCCTTGAAAATACAATGGGAAAAGCTTTCTCATTGCAAATGAAAGGTAACTAACTGGACAATTCCACACTCGAAAAAACAATCCAGCAGGGGTCAGCATGAACACACTTTCCATAGTGTCACCAACAATTATCCATCAAAACTTGGCACCTATTTGTTCTACTGGGCGAATGATAGAGAGTGGCAAGTGTGTATGTTGCAGATTTAATTACAAATTGGGTTATAGTACTTTTAGAATTTTAGTATTAAAATGATGTATTAAGATACATTGTAAAATGTATTAGAAAATGTACTAGAAAAGCCATGGCCAGAAGATCTTGGGTGTCACACTGTGAACCAAGTCCCTGAGCAACTTACTTCTTATGTTGGGAAACTGAGGCCCTGGGGTGTTACAGGGGACAAGTCCTGGAGCCCTGCCATAAAATAGTCTTGGCTCCACCCCTTGTGTGGTAGGATGGAACAAGGGTCCTTCATTATCATTTGAGAAGCAAAAGCTTCTCAAATGTGTTAGAGGATATTCCAAGATCTTCTGTTTCTGGAGGAGCTTTTAAAGGAGTTCTTGCAGGGTAGCATTTTAGAAACCCTGTTCGTTCCAGGACATGCTTGTCTTTAGGATGCTTTTTTCTCCCTTTTCAGAATTAAATATGCCTCTGACTATTGGCCATCATTGTATTAACTTTTCCAAGTGAATGAAGTATCAGAGTGATGTCATCCACTAAACACACTGGCCTAGTCACTGAGCAGTGATTGCTATGGTGACAAGTGGTACTGCAAGGTTGTGTGTGTTGAAATTTAACACCCATGTTGAGGCATTGTGGGCAGTGAAGTCTTAATTCTATGGTGCTTAGAAGTGAGGCTTTGGGAGGTGATTAGTATGAGGTGATAGTTCTTAGGTGGGGCGTGACTCAGTCCTGGTGGCTGCAGAAGAGACAGATACACATGTTCTCACTATCTCTCCTGTGTGGTGCTCTGCGCTGCCTGTGGACTCTGTTAGCAAGAAAGCCACAGCTCCATGTGTCCCTTAGACTTTGTACCTCTAGGACCTTAAGTCATAATAAAGCCTTTAAAAAAATAACCTTCCTGGAGTATTTTATTATAGTAGTGAGAGATGTACTAATAATACAACCAGTACTGAATAAAAGACCCAAACCATCAACCTCCTATTTGTGTTCTTTATACACACTTATCTTTGCTTTGTGTTTGTGTGTGTGTGTGTATATATGTATATAATACATAATGCACAATTGTATATAATATATATTAACTGTTTTACAAAACTTATAAAACTATTATAAAATAAAATTCCCTCTATTTCCAATGCTGATGCCAGACTTTATCCAGCATGTATGCTTTCCTTTACATTTCTTATCTTTACACTTTCATTTCTAATTTCTCCCTGGTTTCTTCAAACTTCTTCCTTCCCCCGGCTTTCAGTTGTTCTTATCTATTTCCCCATAGATACAAGTCTATTTCCCCAAGTATCAGCACCTAACCTTTGATAAGTATGAGTGAACTGAAGACAACAAATGGTATTGCACATAAAGATTTCACATATGTCCTGATTCATATAATGTGTTAATTTTACTGAACTTTCAAATAATTTCCAACTTTAAAATTTTAGGGTATCAAAAAGCAACATATTTTTAAAAATTAGTTGTGTACAATAAATCCGACCTATGGTTTTTCTAACTCATTGAGTTCAGTGAAAATATTAGCTTTTGATAAAAATAGCTGTTTTGCACATCAGAGATTCATTCTTGGGTTTCTCACAAAGCTTACTAAGAGTCTCTGAGGGTATTTGTATTAGCATGTTTTAGGGTTATCATTGCTGTGGTGAAACACCATGACCAAGGCAACTTGGGAAGGAACCGGCTACTCAGCTCACACTTCCACATCACAGTTCATCATTGAAAGAAGTCAACAGGGCAGGAACTCAAATGGCAGGACCCTGGAGGCAGGAGCTGATGCAGAGGCCAGGGAGGGCGCTGCTTACTGGCTTGCTCCCCTGGCCTGCTTTGTTATAGAACCCAGGACCACCCACCATAGGCTGGGCCTTCCCCCACTGGACTTGAATTGAGAAAATGCCTGACAGCTGGATGTTACAGAGGCATTTTCTCAATCAAGGTTCCCTCCTTTCAGATAATCCTAGCTTGTGTCACATTGACATCAAACTAGCTAGCACACATAAACAGGCAGGCTTGAAAATATTTGCCTAAGACCAGGCTTTAGTAACTTCACGGACAGAATGGCATAGACCCAGTGTATTGCATAGAACATTCTAAACAGAAAATGCTCTGCTAACATAAAAAAAACCTCTGATTGTATTCAACTATTTGTCTTAGCCAAGAGATATGTAAGTCACTGAAAACTGGGTATATTTAATCTTTATCTGCACAAATACCTCAAACACAAGGCAGATTATAAACTATATATTTATATTGTCCATAATAGAGGATGAGAGAGAATGTTAAGTTTATTTCCACAGAGGTCAATCTTTTCTTGTTTTTAAGTGTCTGGACATTTGTTGTTGAGAATATGTCTCTTCATTCACTTACATCATAGATCTGTGTTAATATGGGATGGAAGTCAGTGTCCTAACTAGGGTGATGAGTCCTTGTAGGTGTTCCTCAACTGTCATGACCACATGCAAAAGGGAACTAGAAGCTGACCTGAGTGACCCAGGCTTGTGATTACTCTGCTTGTTTCTAGAGGAAAATTCTAGATGAAGGAAAGCGACATCTGAATATCAGACCCTACAGGTGGTCTTCTTTGCCTGTAATGCCCGCAGACA